ATTTGTTAATATTTCAACAATATCCTTTGCCCTATTCATAACCTCCCTTAAATCCAAATCATTTTATTATAGCATTTTGCTAAAAATCATATGTATAATTAAATAAAAAATAAAGGCATTGAATTGATATTAAAAATTGTCTTCGTAATAGCCTGCAAAAGATTTTCAACGTCTGCGAAATCTTTTTCTATGCTTGATATGTATTCGAGCACTGCAAAAATATTTCATATAAATCAATGAAAAGTCTCAATGACTGTTGTCTTTCAATAAATTTGGGCAAAATCTTTTTAGTTTTTTTTTGATTATTTGAATCAATGTCATTAAAAGTTCGGATGAAAAGCTCTCTCTTCTTGAGTGGTGTGAAAAAGTTACAAACCGATGAAATTGTTTCTAAATTTTGAAAAATATATTATAATTATATAAAGATATCTATAAATAATAAAATATTAATTCCAATTGTTCCGGATGTCTAGAATTTGGCATGCCTCAGATATCATCAAATTTAGGAAATGTGAGACAGTGAATTTTTAAAACTATGTAATTAGTTTAACAATATAAATTTTATTATTAAATTTATAAGTATCTAATTTGTTTAACAATATAGATATTATTAAACTAAAAATTGTTTTTCAAAAATGTTTTTCAAAAAATATTATTCGAAATATGCATGTCTAATTTTATTTCCATCCTCGGCTCTAATATGCCAGAAAATATTTACAATATATCTTTATACCCCCCCCAATATTATTGAATATTTTGGTTCATATAATTTTTAATATATTAAACCATGTGGCTTATAAAATTATAAATTCTTATTTGTTTTTTTAATTTAATTTTGATATCATATATATTATTTTATTTCTAAATTGAAACCGTTTTTTAAATAAGCAAATATTTGTAATAAAATTAGTCCATTTTATTTCATTAATAAATTGATTTTAACTGCCCCATTCATTGATCAACTTTAAAAACAACTCATTTAAATATAATTGATTGCTCAAGACTTTGAATTTTTTTAGAGAAATGTAAAATATTACCTATATATATTTAGTATAGAATACCTATTCCTGGTGCCGTTATAAATCATCTTTTACCTCTTTTTTTATACCAGTTAAAATTTAACTTATAAAATAGTTAAAAACATAATAGTTTGAAATGTTAATATTTAATAAAAATGATTAAATGGCAAATTTTTAATTAAAATGAACAATATTACTAAAAATTTTATAAAGAAAAAGTAGATAGAAACATGATTTTTATGGTAAACCCGGTCAAAGGCCTAACAAAAGAGCCAAAGGTCAGTTAACGGGAGGCCTGGGGGTTTCTCCCTCTAGGATTTTAGAAATATGGACCTCCTAAAGAATTTTTTAGCTACGCCACTGATTTACATGATGGAACTAGATGCACCGAAAGAATGACTACGCTAGCGGCAATTTTTTTGACAAGCCACAAATTAAGATGAGTAAAACTGCTAGGCTCGTCGCCAATTTTTTTATGGCAGTAGCGCGAGATGTAAAATTTTGAAAATGCTATATAATTATATTTATAAATTAAATTATTATTAATCAAATCTGAATATTAATATTAATGAAATATAAAGAAATTATGAATTATATTTGTATATTTAGTACTTATTGCAATGCACCAAGTTGAATTAATATAAAAACCTTAATATTAACTTGCCCTACCGTTGGCACAGCATATTAATTTTGCTAGAAAGTATCTGCGGTGTCAACATGAGACATATAAATAATAGGCTAAATAAAACAGGGAAACAATCTTTAAAACATTTCAATAAAGAATGGAATATAGTTGATTATTAGCATTTACTAAATCCAACTAGAGAATTTCTTCCCTCATAAATGGGACTAGCAATTAATTTAGGTTTATTATTTGTATTTCATAGTGAAATAAAAACAAATATACAAATCGATAAGCCTGATACCTCAAATTTCATTTGTCTAAAAGAAAAGCAAAAAAAATTGATCAAAGGTTTCCTCTTACCGATTTGCAAGTAATTTATTTTTTATAATAATTTTTTATATAATATTTTCATTAATAAGCAGTTATCTTAAATATTTTGCACATTAGATATTAGAAACTATTTAATCCAAGATTTCAAGTTCTTAAAATTGTTTCAGAATATTTAAATTATAATTTTACGAGATCATTGCAATTTTTAATTAAATATTTAAAACTTATAAAGTATCATGGAAATGCAGAGAATGGGATTCAGGGTGAAGATAATGGGCAATCCAATTTGTATATAGCGAAAATATCAAACAAATATTTTCAAGCAACGACTATTTAATACAAGCGATCTAGAGCAAGTATGTCACATTTTTCTTGGCTATATATTATACCAGTACATGATGCACTAACCTTTTAGAAAAAAGTTACTGAAACTTCGTAGATTTTCTAATTTAGCTTAGAAACTATATCTGCAACCAGTAGGGGAGACCATGATGGTTTTGACACTTTTCATTACAAACCTGAGAATTCAATAATATTAGACCTATCTAAATAAATAAAACATCTTCTGAATCATAAAAGTATAGGCTATTTGAATTAGTTAATATATATTATTAAAACTATACTTATTTTAGAAACATGAATCTAAAAATATTTATTTGGCTCAAACATGCCATACTCTGGGTACGTTGGGACACCTATATCTGATAGTTGGTGCATACATGAAATAAAGGTCTAAATATAAAAATTTCTTATTTGATATTGTTATAATACTAGAGGCTACAAGTATAATAATTTATTAATAATATCATACGCATTAATTTAGTAAATTAAATTGAATTTTGAGATTTTAAGAAACTTAGGAATTTTTGTAAAAAATATTAAAATAAAATATTATTCAAAGTATAGTAATTTAAAAATTATTTTAGATTGATAATTACATTTGTTTTAATTAAAATAATAAAAATGACATAATTAATAGACCAACTATCCTATGACCAAGATAAAATATATAATATTAGAATAACCTTTCTTTGTCACCGTTTTTAACATATATACATTTAGAGAAGAATTGTATTTTTTAGTAGTATTATTAGTATTGCATATTGAATTTCGTTTTTGATGCCTTATGCAATAAAAGTTGTAGGACAAACTTATTTCTTATATAAGTCCACACTTTATAAAATTGTAATGAGTAACAGATAATAAAATTAGCTTGAATTGGAGTATGAAATTAGAGGTTGAAACACTTTTCAATTATTATTTTATATTTAGTTGAGCATAGATTGCAATACTTTAAGATTTCAGTTTCAGTATGAATATGGCTCATTTTAATAAAATAGGATAAATCAGATATGATCTTAATTTTCTTCTCTAACTCGAATCATGAAATGAATTAAATAATAAAAATTGAAGATTTTATAGGGTTTGACAAACTTTTTATTCATTGCTTATTTATAGAGACAAAATATGGGAACTTGAACTAGCGTCTACATGAATGGGGAGAGGGGGTAGAAACAGTTTACATCCAATTTTTTTAAGGGGGGGGGAGTGAAGAGGATCTTCATTTAAGTGGATATACTAGTGATATGATAAATTTATTAGGGGGTTATCTATTAAATTATTAGATAAAATAAGGCAAATGTATTGCAGTATAAATTAATACTTTAATTATAGACGTATTTTAATACTATGATTGCTAAACATCGACCAAATCTATATATTACACATAATCATATAGACATTATTTTCAAAAGAAACTATTTATGGATAATTTTACGCTATCATTTTAAATGTAATATAAAAGGGAGTAGGCATTCTATCAGTAAACTCATATTCATGCCAAACAATATACTATAATAATGAATTTGTAATTGAGGGGGCTATTAATTGAATTTAAGTTCTAAAAAGTAACTCTTTTAAATTCACAATATTTTGATAGTTGATAGTAGAGCATTAATATTATAAGTTATTCTTATTTATGAAGGGAGTACCGGGAATTTTTAGGGAGGGAAGTAAATATAGTTTAAGGGGGGTTCGCATCCAGTAAAAATCCTGTTATGTAATTGCTGACTTGAACAATACGTATTAAGAAGGAATTAGAAAATTAATTCAATGATATTAAAGACAAGTGCCATATACTCGTCTACCAAAACAAAAATGATATCACTGTGAACTAACAAGATCGATATCCCCGTGGACCAACACAAGAGCGATATCATCGTGGATTAAGTATCAACATCTTATTATCGTAGACCAATGAGCAAAGGTTTCTTGCGACCCAAGTAAATAGAACGTTCAATTTATAGCTAGATAAAAGTCAGACATATAAGCGAGCAAGTTGATGATTTATAGGCAAATTAAATCAAGCAGAGATTGGGCAAAACTAATCATGGTCATAATATTTTGATCTAGTGAAAGCTGAGCTGTGATACAATGTAGTTGTTCAAAAGTGAAAGCTGAGCTGTGGTATGATGTAGTTGCCCAAAAGTGAAACAGCTATATATAATCCAATGGATGATGGGAAAAGTTTAGACAAAAATAAATTGGAGGAGGATGGGAGGATTAAATACCCAAAGTGAGGTTACGATCACAACCGAGCATTACGCGAGACGATGTAAGGATATAGAAATTTAAACCTGGATGAGAATTCGGTACCCTATAGAATAAAATAAAAACGATAGTTATTTATTTATTATAATAGGATAAGTAAAGTAGCCAAAGGATTTCATATTAAATTAATTATAAATTTAATTCAGATGAGACCCTATTTTTTAGGTGAATTTTTATTTTATTTAATTCGATATTTTTATCAATTATAATGTGCAATTTATTTTATTATACTATGGTAGAGTGTCATTGTCAATAAATTTGAAATGATTATTATTAAATAAAATATTATTTACAAATTTTACAATATATATATATGACTAGAAAAGAATAATTTTGGAATTTCTTAAAACAATCGAGTAATAAAACTATTTGTAAACATTCATAACACATCATTTTTAATATATAAATGAAAAAATATATAAAATAAAAATAAATTGTTAAATATTTTATCATAATTATAGATATTGAATATAGGAATATATGTTCGTGTTATAATGGATACCAAAATTATATCAATATTTCTTTATACATTTTTCTATCATTTAAATTATAAAAGATTGTCAATCTATTATTACTATAATTGAAATTACATGAAGAAAGAGTATATGTATGTCGTAACGGGGTATGAATTCATGGAAATTCGGATTATTGTAATTTTAAATCATTTACTGAGCGAGATTTTTAAATTTGAAAAATCTGTTTGAACAGAAATGTATCCCAGCATGTATAGAGTACCCATATGGTAATATTTTTAATTTATATGAAAAATCTATATAAAAATAAATATAAATAAAATAGTTCAAAGGTTCACGACAAAATTGTCTGAAATTCACCCGATATGAACATATAAATGCTGGAATATATTTCCGGTCAAATCAGATTTCTCAAATTCTAAAATCGGCATCTGTACATGATTTAAAATTAAGGGATTCCGAATCCCCACGGATTCAAAATCCCCTTCCAACATATACACTATATTTATTAAAAATTACATCTAAATAATGGGAATAAAAGATGGGTATTATTTTGTTTACAGATCAATATTGCACGTTTTGGGCCATGAGAATCGTTGCGATATATCTTTTCGAATAAATTATTTGAATTATTATTATTTTTATTTAAATATTCTTCTCCATGTCCATTGATGTTACCTATTCTCACAGAATCTAAATTTTGAGTAAAGTCGAGATTCATTTGTTTTTTCAAGAGGCCCGTACTTTTTAAAGTTTCAGGTTTAGCTGATTCGGTTTCAAAATTATAGCCATAATCACTTTCGCCTGATCCTAAATTGATAAAATGAGTAGATGGTTCTAAACCGATATTCACAATCGAATCTGGTTCTATAGAACTCATTTCTTTCTCCAATCTTTGATAGGGATATTTAGATGATTTTCGTTTTTGTATGTATTTGTTTAGAGTATTTTTTAAAACCCTTTGAACTAATATTTTCTGTATTATATTTTTTTGAAATAATTAATAAAATTATTCCTGTTCAAATTAAATGTATACTTTAATTAAAGCAATGTTGTAGTAAAGTAGGGGGGGGGGGGGCAAGGGCAACTCCCTTCGGCCTCCGAAGTTTGCCTATCCTAAATATAATTTCAAGCGAATAAAAATTTCCCCCTACATCTCCCCACCCCCTCTTCCCAAAAAATTTATACAATATATCACTATAAACAATCGAAAAAATAGTAAAAGTTAACAATTTTTAAATAACGACTATAATTCAAAATTGATTATTTTTATAAAAATATAATATAGTCTATAGCTTATAATAAGTGGACCTAAAAATCTCCAATAAAATTTATGCGGAAAAACCCACCTAATAATACCCTCCCCCCACCCAGCAAAATCCTGGCTACGCCTATACTTTAATTAAAATAACCTTTAATAAACGAAAGCTAATTCAAACATAGTAAGTAAAAACCTTTGCCTGAATTCAAATATTAATAATTATACTTAATAGAATACTTTTTATTTATAATGCCTTTTAAACTCTATTTAAAAAAAATCAAAAGGGGGAATAATTTGAGTAAGGGAAACAGAGGATCTTATGAGCTTGGAGTTCTTGTAAACCCTGTAATTATTTTCTGATTACTATCCAAAATTTTTTTTTATCATATTGAGCATTTACGGCTATAATTTTTTATTTATTGGATCTATAAATTGTTTTTCCAAATTCTTCAATTTTTGAAAAATATAAAATAGAGGTTTCAAATAACTTAAATATATAATATACTACATCGTATTCTATATAAAATTAGACTTTGAAAAAAATACATTTGGATTAAACCATCATAAAATTACATTTTAAGGATAGGAGGATCTGTGGCTTTTCGGAGGTTCATAGGGTACCAATTTTAAAAACCAGAAATTATAATGTAAACAATTTTTAAATAAAATTTATGATGCATACGAGTAAGGCTCATATTTCCCAAATTTCTTTTTGAAAAAATGATTGTGGTTAAGTATAAAATACATTTTTTAATGATATTTTTTTATCCAATGTATAATTAAAAATATAAAATATTGAAATTTTATTATTAAAGAGTAATTACCTCATTCAAAATTAGTAATAGAGAATTTACGGCGACAACAGCTAAAATTAATAATTTAAAATTCATGTCTGGAATTTCGCGATACTATTAATAATAATAAAAAAATTATAGTTTATATATAAATAATTGATTTGTTATACTTGTAAAAACATAAGAAGTTTTGGATGTCCAAACAATAGAATGTAACTACTCACAGTCAATAATATTACTACGGCAGCAATAAACCAATCTTTTTATTAAAAAAATAGTTTTAGTTTTAAATAATTTATATTGTAAATTTACAATTAGTATATAAAGGCATTCTAAATGGAGGGCCCTTAGAAAATATGACAGCTAATATGATGTATTGAAAATTCGAAATTGTGAAAACACAAGCATTTTGATAACTGTAATAATCTTTGGTATGAGTTGGCACTAACGGTTCAAACCTTTGTAAATATAAATTTTTACGATATTTATTAGTATATCAGTATTCCAAAAACATCATTTTAAATACTTACCAGGGTTGTTTGGTAACCATAATGAAAACTGTTAGCTGGGCACATACATTAATCACGAGGCAAGATATTATAGAAAATATAGGCATAAAGCTTATCAGGCTTAATGGTGGACGTTCCTTTGATAGATAAGGATAGGCTAATGTTCTACCAACTTAAATTTAATTGTATTTTTTTAGTAAAATTATGTTTTACATGTTATGGCTAGAAACATCATTTCAAACAAATCGACATATAAATATTCGAAATCAGTAAGACTAGCTTTTACCTATAATAATATATTTATATTAAAAAATGATGCAAAAACTATGATTAAACCCAATATAATATAGTCACTGAAACAAATTGGACCATGCTATAACTGGCCAAATATTTGAATATACCGAATGAAGTGGTTAAAGCTGCTCGCCCTTCTCTAAAATTGATTGATTGATTTATGAATAAAATAATAGTATTATGTTACCTTAATAACAAAGGAACACATGTAATACTTTGAGTTTTAGATGTAAAAGGTGAAGCTATTGAGGATTCATTTTCTGATAAGGATATTCCAGCGTGAGCCATCTTTAAAGCCTTAAATATAAAATTGGAATAATTAATTTGTTAGATTAAGTTATAAACACAAATATAATACTTTCAAGTCTTAATAAATTTAAAAAAATAAAATAAAATAACCCCACAGTCATTGGCCCCATCTCCACACATTCCTACATAATACCCTAAACTTTGAAATGATTCTATTAGTTGAGCCTTCTGCTCTGGAGACATTCTGGCAAACACAGTACCACGAGACAATATCTATGAAATAAATTATTTATATAAAATAGACGATAAATATATATTTCTATATCTATACAGGTTAAATAGGTTTACTTTTGGTAAAAGATATGGATGCCAAGTCTGAATAGCCTTTAGTGTTTTTCCATTTAAAGCAAAATGATATCTATTACGGTGTATTTTTTTAGACACCAATTCTAAAGACTCTAGTTCCTCCTTCGTTCGAGGCTAAAATTCTATAAAATTTAATGCAAATAGTATATTGATTACTTTGTAAACACTGCTTCTCCTCTTTTCTATATTTTGGGAATAAAAGTGACCCTTTTTTGCATATCTATACATAATCAGTGGTTTGCTTTCGTTTATTTCTGTCTTAAGAGTTCCTTTATTTTCAATTGCCTCCACTATAATAACATTCTCATTTTGTTGTATCATATCCACATCCTTCGCCACACAAAGAGCTGTATAAAGATTATCCCCTAATTAAAATTTCAAAGGGTCGTAACCTATAATAAGATTTTATTACCAGTTATCATGACTGTTCGCAAATCGGCATCTTGCAATAATTGAATAACTTGTCTTGAATCCGACTTAGGTCTATTTTCAAGGATCATAAATCCTGAAAATATCATATCTTTTTCCAAATCATTCCTATTTTTAAAAAAATGATTTGTTTGATAATAGAAAAAAAATCCCATGAAATCCATTAGAAAAAACCTCCCAATAAAAACAAAAAAACCTTAAGAAAAAAAATTTACCAGAAAATAAACCCCCAGAAATAATCCTCTTGGGAAAAAAGCCCGGGGCGTTTATTTTAGTAAAAATTATTTTCTATTATTTGTCTATATAACTTATAAAGATAAGTGTATCCATTATAATGCAAATAAAATTATAATCCAAACAATATACCCTTATTATTCGAGTGAAAATTTAATAAAAAAGGGAATTTTTTTTCAGTGAGGTTTTTTTCCTGGAGATATTTTTTCTTAGGGTTTTTTTCGGGATTCGATTTATTTTATTTTCTCCTAAAATTTAGTTAGATATCAATAAATATATATAAAACTAATACAATCAAATGTTTAATTATTCGATTCATTTCATATATATTATAAATGTAGTATTGGAATGAATCTCGATTGTAAATCATACTGAGAACGATTTTAAAGTTTGAAAATCCGATTTTATAGTTGTAAAAATTTGTGATGTGAAATTCATAGTGTAGGTTACACATGATGGAATACATTTATGGTTAAATCGGATTTTAAATATTTAGAAATCGCCCTCAGTAAATGATTTAAAATCGAGAGATTTTATATCCTCATGGATTGCATATCCTAATACATGTATATTTAATGTTATTAATATAATAATAAATGTAGTGCTGTAACGTTACTTCAAACAGGTTACTCGCTGCGTTAAAAAAGGAACTCGTTGCCGTTACTCGTTACCTTGTGAAAAGGAACGCGCGTTACTGGTTTACAAAAAGTAAAGAGTTATTCGTTACTTGAAAAAATAAATATTTTATATAAAAATTCCCTATATATAATGTAAACAAAGTTATACAAAAATATTATATTATAAATAAGATATTTTTATAATAATTTTTTATTTGTTTTTATTTACAATTGATTTTCAAAATTTTAATCAGATAAACAAGAGAGGGCTCAATACATCTTTCGTCGTGCTAAACACATGTTCAACTACTGCAGAAGATGGGAGTGTAGTATTATATTAAATAAATAAAATGTTTAATTAGAGGAATTTATTAAAAATTAAAGAATAATTTTTAATGAATAATTTTTAATAAGAAAAAAGCTCAATAGATCATCTACAAAAGAATTTTCATTCTGATCTTCATCAAATTTTTTTTATCTTTATCAGAAACTAATCTGGTATGTGTGTTGTTTTTTAAAGGAATCAAAGTTACTTTTCTTTGTCAAATATTTTCTCAAACTCGAAAAAAGTTCAAGCTTTCTACTTTCGTTGACCTATAATTTTAATCAGGGCTAATCTAATCAAACAGTGGGTGAATTATTACTGATAGTGTATATTAATTTTATAGATGTGTTCGATTCTATTGAAAATAAATATAATCAAAATATAAATTGTAAACAATATTTTAACTGGCATACCTTTTATCTATATCTTGAAGAATTGCATTAATAAGTAGCTTACAAAACTTGAAATTATTTAAATCTGAGATATCCCAAATGTTCTAAAATCGAAAGTACCATAGCCAGGTTCCATCACATAGAAAATCAAATATATATCGTATTTTTTAATTAACGCTAACCATACAATTTTTATCTATGAACGACTTGTCATTATCTAAAAATCTCTGCAATTCGGATTTATCATAAGATTGGTCAAATTGCCCAATCTCCTTAATAAGCCGATTAATTTCACGGAATTATAAAGAGAGTTCCATTTTGTTATAACCAATTTAATTAGATATCTTTCCATTTTCCTTAAAAATGGCTTCACAATTTCGAGACTGCCTATGTTTATTCCACAATTGTGGATATATTGAATTGGGACACAATTTTAAAAAGTGTAGACGACTTTGTACCCTTACTTCTTTTATTGGGATAAAACATGTTCCATATTGGGGCCAGGGCAGATTAAATCATCTTCATCTGAAAAATGTACAATTGACATAATATTCTTTATAAAATAAATTATTTGAGAATAAGAATATAAATTAACGTATCTTGATTGATTCAATATTAATTAGATTAACAAACTTGACTGGAAATTTAACAACGAAAATTTAAAATAAAAATGAATGTGATGGTTAATCTGACTTAAAAACTCGGCTTAAATTATTTATAAAATTTAAAATAATAAAATAATTTTATGACACAATAAAATATGTTTTTTCCATATTTTTTTAAGAAAAAATTTAAGTAATGAGTAACATTTTGCATTACTGTTACTCAAAAATAGGAAACGCCTTACCTCTAGAAAAAGGTAACGAATGGCTTTCCTTTTCATCAAAAAAGGCAACGCCTTTAATTTCGCATTTTTTGACATTACTTTACAGCACGATAAATAGTAATTATTATATTAAACATCAATTTTGATATATTTCAAATTTACTTGATTTTATATATAATTTCTTAAATATCTTTTAAAGCATATGATAAATAATTTATACCTTGTTAAATTTGGGATATCTTTAGTTAAATTATTAACTACGATTGATTTCCATGCCAGAGCAATAACTCTATATCCTTGTTGAGTGTAATGCATTAGTTCTTCTGCGAAATTTTTTGGCACTGCAATTAAAATATAGTCATTGTATGTACAGGTAAGGATCGTTAGGAATTTTCGAAACAGATATAAATACTATTTTACAAGATAATTGATAAAAAATTTAAAAAGTAAAAAAAAATAACTTAAACTTTGCTTTTTATAGAATAAAAAATGCGATAATTAATATTTATAATTTGAAAAAAAATATGTGTAGATCAATTTTGGTAAAAAATGGACAAAACTTTTTTTTATAAATTTCCCAAAATATATTTTAGGAACCGAAATAATATACGGAAACGAATTAAATATAGATTGAATTTGAATAAATAAGAATGATTTCATGAAATAAGATTGCCGAATCAGAATAAATGAGATTTTAATATAATTGGAAAATTATTTTATATACGCGCGATTTATATTTTTATTAACATTTTTTAAGAAAGTATATAAATAATAATGATTATAATAAATCCACGTTATTTTTAAGTATTATTTATAATATTCAAATATACCTTATAGCCTATGACGAGCTGGTCTATTGACAATGTTTGAAAATTTAAAAAATCCCTACACTGGTATATTGAATTTAAGAGAAATATCTTATATATTTTTATAATTAAAATAAGAATCAGATATAGCGGCTAGAGGTGGGCGCGGGCCGTGAAATTACGCGTGACCCATCGTGTTACGGTGGGTCACGGCGTGAGTGTGAATAAATTTTAAATTCTAAGGCGTGGCTGGGCGTGACGGGCCTTCGCAAAATTTTCCCCGGGCGTGATCTAGCGTGAACATAAATTTCCCGTGAATCACGGAAATTTTAATTTTTAATATTGTTTTTTTATAAATATAAATTTGCAATTTTATAATTATAAATTTATAAATTGCAATTTTATAATTATATTTTATATTTTCCTATTTAATTTAGTTCTTTTTTTAAAAAAATTAATTTATGAAAACTAAAATTCTTCTGCATTTTATAAACAACATCCGGTATTATTTCGTTAGTTCTTTTTTCTTTTTATGTTTAGGTGTTTTTTACCGCGAGACTTTATGCTAAATTTTAAACATTTTACAGAAAAGTCAGTTAATTTTTTTTTGTAAAGATCTTCAATCTATAAATGCAACAGAAAGTGAAGGATTTTACAAGCTAGGCCAAGAGATTTGGTGTTACATATGGATAACAAAATATAAAAGTTGTGAACCGAAAAACTCTCATGAATACTGTAGGTCCAAAATATAACATAAGATTAAAAGCATGATCCATAATAATTATTTGTCCATAATCACTGATATTTGATGACTATAAAAATCTAAGTTTTTTAACCGGACATATTATCATTAAGAATTTTAAATTAAAAACATTGTTTTGGCCACAAGGGCAATGGAAAAAAAACGTCAAAATTTAAAGTGCAGTCAATTCAATTTTAGGAGAATATACAGAAGTAGAAAATTATTTAAATAAATGTATAGTTGTGAGTGATAACGGAGCAAATCTTATAAGTGCATTATAAGATGATGAAACGCTAGCATGTATATGCCATATACTAAATAATATTATGCAGTATATTTTTGACAATTGTTTAATTGAAATAGCCTTAAATATAAATTGTGTAAAAAAAATATTACAATATTTCAAACAATCTACAACTAATAGCAAACTAAACCACACCTTTAAACAAGATGTAATAGCGAGAATAACGAGATGGAACTCTATATACATTATGATACAGAGTTTCTTAAAATCATATTCTGAAAGGTGTACATGTTTAGCAAGCAAGAATTAAATAGATTAGCCACAATTGATATCAGCATCATACGCGAGTTAGATAAATTTTTATCAATATTTAAAGAATGCTCGGATAATCTGAGAGCAGATTCTCGTCCCACAAAAAATGAAGTTTGTCTATGGAAACAAAAATTAATAATATTTTGTTAACCTTCTGAACGTGATACAATAATAATCAAAACCTTAAAATACAGAACAAGATTTCTTTTAAAAAATTATTATGCAGCCACTACATAAGGTAAGCTTAATTCTAGATCCGAATTTAAAGAAGAAAATGATATATATAAAACAATCTTAAAAATGCTAAATGATATAAAATTAGATGATATGCATAAGTCAATGCCAACTATCATTTATAACTTTCCTAACTTATCCTAAACTCATAAAAAACCGTATATTCTAAATGGTCAATACCAACTATCACTTTCCTAATTCATCCTACACTCATAAAAGACCGTATATTCTAAATAAAAAATTTAGAGAATTTCTAGATGATTCTGATGAAGCATCAACATCACCGATGAAGGCTGTGAGGATTAACTTAAAAGATTCATATAAGATATATAACAAAACAATATTTGAAGTTTTGGAAGCAGGAATATTCATTTCCTTTTTTGAGAAAATTATAGAGTAAAATTTTGTCAGCTGCAAGTTCGGCTTCTAGTGAAAGGTTATTTTCTGTAGCCAATCTCTTATTAGAGGAAAGGCGTACACAATTGAAATAAAAAAAGATAAGCATTCTTCTTTTTCTAAATAAATTTCGATTTATAGATTATATTTACTTTTTGTTATTAATATGGATTATGAAATTAGGAATTCAAAAAAGTGTAAAATTATAGCAATCTTTTTGAAAAATTAAAAACACCGTGAATTTTCGGGCTTGACGGGCGTGGATCAAAATATTGCTTGTCGTGAGCGGGCGGGTCGGGTCGAAAATTATTTAGTGGTAAGCGTAATATTTTTTATTTGCACCGTGAGCGGGCGGGCCGTGAATGAAAAATTAGGCCCGCGCCCACCTCTAATAGCGACTAAAAATGCCATTTTAAAATCAATATTGAAATCATAAACTTTTATATTTATTTAAAGACTCTTTTTATTATACTAGACAAAAATGTATAGCCTCTCATAGTAACAATTAGTTTGACCCTGTCAATAGCTATGACCAAGAGATACTCCTTTTAATATTCTTGTTTCAATTTATTTTAATTCAGAGAATCAATTATTTATATAATGCTTGTTCATTTTAATTTAGACCAAGATTCCAGCTATTAATCCGTGGCATAACTAATATTTTTAAAAAAACTAAGACCTGATAACCTTGCCATTCTTTCATCTATCTCATTGCCATAGCATGTAATGAATTTAAAAATGGCAGGGGTATGATTTTACACGTTTTATATTTGTAGTCATAGGCGCGGATAAGAAGTAGTAAGGGATGCCGCTCGACTCTCCCTGGAACATTAAACTGTAATATTATTTAAATTTTTTTTAAATATTCGTATGCATGGCCTTGGCTCTTAAAATTATAATTGCAAAACCCACTGCGCATGTCGGGAAAACCTATTAAATTATCGTCTTATCTTTTATTTTAACCTATTGTATATTTTATCTTTAATATTTTTTCCATATGGATAAAATTGTAAATTATTTCAAAAAGGCAAATTAAATTAAATTATATTTTATATATTTAATCTTGACAATATACCCAAGGATTCAAAAATAATTTCTTTGTATATAACAATATTTCAGGAAAGTACATATTTGTCAATATCCCTATATTTTTTTAGACATTTTTTTATTAACTTCATTCACTTCTATTGTAATATTAATCAAATTGATATAACATATAAATTTTAATTAATAATATTGGTTTAATCATATTATTTATTGAAAATAAACGCAATAAGTATTATCTTAGTCTGTTAATACTTCATAATCAACACTTAGTATAGTTGTGTTTTCTAATAGTAAAATAAAAAAAATTATAAGTAATTTATTTTCTTGCTTAAAGGATGACCCTAAATGTTCACTATAAATGCAGCAAGTAGTGTAAACAATTTCAATAATGATATTGAATTATTTATTTTTAAAATCATATTTACAAAATAATATTATACACCTAATAAAGTAGGGGAGATAAAGCCCGAGATATTACATTAAAATGGTATAATATAGTATGATGACTAATTTTTTTTAAGATGAGAAATCTCAATGGGTTTAAAGTAAATTAATTTTTCTTTTTATTTAGGATGAGGATTGCAATTTTAATTAATAAAATTTTAGATTATTTTATTAATATTTTTGATTACTTTGGCAAATTTTAAACTATATTTTTGTAACAATGAAAATTTTATAAATGTTTCGAATTATTTTTTAACCAAAAAATTCTGAATAAAAAAATCGACCTGATAAATCCGAGCCCCTGTTACGTTAGATATCATTGAAAACAGAATTTAACCGAAAAGATGCAAATTCAAGTCACCTAACTGTTTATCATTGCCACCCAACAAACAATATTTGTCAAAATAAATGATAGCATGTCCATAGTTTTGAAAGATAAAATAAAGTAAAACAAAACGATCAAAGGAAAACAATATATTCAATATACAAATGAAAATTCGGATTAAAATAATGACCATTTAAATGTGGCTTGTAAAATTGGGCAAAAGGTTTTTTTTTTAAAGTATCTGAATAAATTCGCAAATCTACCGAAATTAACCATGGGTTATGCTACCAGCTACTGGTAAAATAAAGCATAATTTGGGATTTTGATTTATTAAGCCTAAAATGAGATAACTTGATTCTGGTGTGCAAATAGTAGCGAGTTTTTCGGGAGATCCTTTGATATAAAATTCTAATTTATCAGAGTACTCTTGAATCAATAAAACGGACATGCTTTGGGAGGATGACGTGAAAGGAAATTGTTTGATTACTCCTAATTTTGGCATTTTCTAGTAAAAAAATAATTTCATAGTTAATAGTTAAAAACTTTGTTCCTTACATCTAAAGTTTTAGAATTGGTTGATTTATAAAACTCAGCCACAACATTTATTTTAAAGTTATCCTCTATAATTTCATATGAGTCTTTCATAATCTAAATTTTTTTAAAATGATTATAATGAAAATATTAATTTACCCAATGTGTAGCGTTAAACATTTTAATATCCAGCGGGTCGCCAATAAATTTTCCATCTAATTTTGTAAGAGAATGACAACAAATTAAACCTTTTAATAATGGTGAAAACGTCAATCCTATTATATCTTGGCATGATTCAAAGCTTTTAATTTTTGTGAAATAAGAAAATATGTTAAACAACAAATTAAAAAAAATATAAATTGTAGTTCATTTATATAATTACTGGTTATCACGATCAATAGGAACTACACCCAACATATCAAGATCTTCCATGGTGATTGTGCCAGTCTAAAGTATTTCAAATAAAAATAAAAATAAATTAAATTACTTTATCAAAACATATTAAATTTAGAGATGCAACTATATTTATAGTTTTGGGACTGATACAGAACACTCCCAACTTCTTCAATCTACTCTGTGCATAAATGACTCCAACAGCCATTGAAATGGGCAATGCAGGTGATACGGTTATAGTAATTAGATCTAATGCTCTTATAGCTATGGTAAGGGGATCAGCTTTATGTGAAATTATCTTAATTTTGTAATAGTTATATAAAAAATATGGATTAAAAATTTCATCTTGTTTATAATAATAATTATATCGAAATTATAAAAAACCATCAAGCCTAACGTATAGAAAAATCCAATCATTGCTATCAGTGCCAAGACTCCTATAAACTTGTAGGTGTGCTTGTTAAATTTGAAATCGATGGGTTTAGGAAATAATATGGACTGTATAAGTTGACCCTTTAATGTCATGAAGCCTAAATATATATAAAACGCAACTATACCTTGATAAAATTCGCAAGTCTTCATAAATATAATTTCAAGCGAATAAGAATTATTCCTCTATAAAGCACCTACCCTCTTCCCTCCAAAAATGAAGACAATAGGTGATTATAAACAATAATTTTATTTTAAAATAATCGTTTGAAACTTTAATAAAATAATATTTTAATATAAAAAAGTGCCAAACCAAAATTAAAAATGTAACCCGACCAAAAAATCTGCAATAAGCGAGCCAAAAGCAATCAAATTAAATTCAAGGAAGGAAATGCCACCCAAAAATTTCCCCTCACTTAAAAAAAATCATGGTTATTCCTATGAGCGTTGGAAGGGTCTAAAGAGTTTAGAAGGCTTAAGGAAAATAGGATTTAAAATATATTGAATTACAGTAGGGCAGAAGGTGAGGCATGTCAAATCATTTGATCCCATTTTTAATTTAAGACACTGTATTTAAATTTTGTTCTTACATAGATCAGAGTAATTTCAACTACTAATTAATCATTATAAAATATATTTTATTTTTTCTTTGGTTATTTTGTTGATTAAGTATATCAAATTTCATATTATAAAAAAAATGTGGAAGAACTAAATATTAATATTAATAAAATTATCAAAATTATATTTTAATATTTATAAATATTTTAGATAAACTTTGTTGCATAATAGAATATGAAGATTTAAATTATTATATATCATCTTAAGAAACAAAAATGATATTTTTATCCATTATAGGTAAATAACACTCAATAATTTATAATATTGTTTCTCAATAATCTCACCGATTATTATTATAACTTATAATTTCTCAATAATCTCACCGATTATTATTATAACTTAATATCAGGCGCGTACGCAGAAATTTGGTCTGGGGGGGGGGGGATAATAAATTTTTTAAGAAATAATATTTTTAATTAAAAATACTAAGCATAAATTTATTAGGATTAATAACTTTTCTAATACACAATTTTAAACTAATGTGAATTAAAAAAATTATATATATAAACCGGCATTTAAATGTGAATCATAAAATATAAAGTGAATATAACCCACGATATGAATCACTTAAATGACCCAAAATTGAAATTTGAATTTTTTGAGCTTTTAAAATATATAAAGTATAAAAAATTTAAATGTTGTAAATATAAATTAATACACAAAAAGTTTCTTAGGAATAATTGTATTTTGTATGTTTTGAGCTAATTTTTCAATTATCAATCCTTGCTTGGCGTTTAATGTCTATGAATATTCAAAAGATCCAAATCATTCAATCTACTTCAGATGTTGTATTTCATAGGTATGTTTTTCACAGACTTGCAGGCCCGGCTCCCGAATTTTAATTTTTTTAAATATACCCGGGCCGGGCTCGTAATTTTTTTTTTTAAAAACACCCGGGCTGGGCCTGAAAATTTTTTAAGAAAAAATATCCGAGCCGATAGGTATATTTTAAAACCAAATATTTGAAATCGCCATTATTAGCTATAAATATCAAAAATAAATATAATTTATTTTAAAAAATTCGGGCTAAGCCAGCCGGGACGGGCCTGAAAATATTTTAAAAAAAAACCCGGGCCGGAAAAAATTTTAAAATAAAATCTGGGCCTGGTCCTGCAAATGGTACCTCTGCAAGGCTCTGTTATTCTTCTTAAAAAAGTGAATGTTCTCTCATTAGTTTACTAAAGAGCTGCTAATATATATATAACCATTTTAATAATTGGGAGTATAATCTAAAATGTGTTTGAAATAAAAAGCATCCATAGCATTTTTTGGGACTGTATCAACCATAGTTAATCTTTTAATCATAGTTATTCAGCTAATAAGGCATTATAAGATATTTTAACATCTTCATGATAAAAATATAACAAATATTTATATTTTTTTTCTATCACCATATGAAAAAGGTTGGGAGAGGGGACATTTGTTTTATAATACTCTTCTACTGATCCTATATTAATGTTTTGATGATGAGCTTGCTTGCTGCAAGTCGAGGGGGACAAATATTTAACACGTATAGCTCTGCTTTTGACTCAACAATAACATATAAAATATGAAATTCTTCAACAACACTAGCTCTATTTCCTTGAGTTCTAATAAAATGCTCTCCTCTATTCTCATCTTCTTAATCAAGTCAATGTTATGTTTTTGAAAAGTATTACATAAAATAGTTGTATAATTAAATAATACATTCTAATGAGAAAAAAAATTTGAAATAAGTATTGAATCCAATAATTTTCTTGCTTCTGAGGAAATATTTCTTTTAAGCCATTGTGATATAATAATCAGCTCTTCTAACTCCAAAATAGCTGTTACTGTGGCGGAGACTCGATCTCGTTGGACAAGCTTGCAATTTTTTTCTCCCTGTTGGACAAGGAGTTTCAGAGATAATTATTATTTTATTAGAAATTTAGATAAATATTACGCCACTAAAATTTGAAAATAATAGGTAAATTACGCCAAGGAAAACTTGAAATTGAAATTGATTGATAAAATAACTTAGTAGATGAATGTGATAAATAAATGTAATTAAATATATATATATATATAATATATGAGATAAGAATAAATATTAACAAATATAAATTAATATTAACAATAATATTTTTGAAAAATATAATCCGGCATCTGCATTTTTTGGCTTTGGGGGGGGGGGGGGGTTTGTCCCCCTGTCTCCCCCCCCGCTGCGTACGCGCCTGCTTAATATTAATGGTTAGAATTTTGAACATTTTACTACTATTTAACATTTCTTTATTTTATAACTTTTTTTAAACTAATTCCAATATTTTTATAAAACAATCATAAAAATCATAATAATACAAAAAATATATATAAAAATTCTTTTCTTTGTTTTACAATTATTATATTCCTCCGCGTTAATTCTTTATCAATCAATATAAACAAAAATCAATATTTTTTATGTTTCTAAATATATATTAATAATTGATTGACATTTATCATTTAATAATATTAATATTGATAAATATATATATATAATATACCAACATATATGAAATATCTAATACAAATATATATGAAATATATATCAATAGGCAGAAACAATGGTTTAGGAAGCCCCATAAGGCAGTTTGACTATCCTTAAGATTGAGGTCTGCTAAATATAATTAACAATTTATAAAAAATCCAGGCTTCTGCAGCAAGCTCATCATTTTTACTGTAAAGAAGCGTTAACATCTTGATAAATGCAATTTTCTGTGATTTTTCTCAAGTCAAATTTTGACAAATGAATATATAGTTTTTTTTTGTAATTTTCTATTATCTACCATGGCGAAAACCGAAATTTTTTCCCATGCCATTTCTTTTATACCTTTATTAGTCTCAACCAAATTTCTAAGATACAAAAATTGCTTATCGATAATAAAATTTTGATTTTTGGAAAAGTCTCATTAACTATTTGATTAATGATTCTACGATATACCTCAACTAGATATTTGTTAAGGGAATCACTAAGCCGTCCATATTAACATTCCTAAAAATACATATTGTTTTACGACTAATTAAATCGATATATTTAAATTCTACGTATGTGCTGTATAATATCTCATTTCGGACAGTTTTTTATTATAAGATAAAGCAATTTTTTAGCTTTTATTTTTAAAGATGCAAAATCTATCCAAAGTTAAAGAAAATTTGGCATCTTAAGTTTTCACTCTGAAAATCTAAGTTTTTAGTTTACATATAGGGGAGACGGAGGCTAGTCGCACCGATTTTTGCAAAACAGGCTATAACTCCTGTGTTTTTTTAGATGTTATAAAGAACAATTAAATTGATACCTATTAGCTATACTCCATAAAGAAGCCTTATAAATATTTTAAAAAATATAATCATATTTTTGAAATTTTTTTCTTGTAAAATTTGAAATTTTGCCAGCCCCAATAACGGGGTTTAGGCAAACCACAGCAAGGGGCTTCCTAAACCATTAATTTTTTTAAGGAATACATTTTTATTTATTAATAATGATACGTATAGAATAATCTTATTATTTTATTGTTTAAAATATCATTACTTTTGAAGCAAATTATATAAAAATTGAAACTTAATTTTGAATAATTTAATATACATTTTGGACAAATAAGGATCTTAAGGAGGGATTATGTTTTCTTAGGATAAATTCTAAATAAAAATCATACACATGAAATTTTCTTTTCAATATTTTGAAATATTTTTTCATATTAACTGCTATATTTGAAGTGTATGGTTTAGCAAACCCCGCTAGCTCTAAATTGATTAATCATAATTGAAATATCTAGACAAAATAAATACTCGTAAAGCTTTCTCAAATTATAAAAGGGGGTTAAACTTTGCTATAAAATTTAATTTATATGATTATATAAATTAATAAAAATTTAAATTCTGCCATATAAAAATCTTTTAAATTTGACATCAAAATTTTATTTTCTAAATAAAATTTTTAATAATTAATTATTTCAAAAGATTTTTTGCCTGTATGCATACTAATAAAAGTTATATTATGATTTGCCAAGCCCCAGGGTTCACCTAACCCCAGTCTCTTCAACCTAGTAAGTATACTATAGTATATTTATCTAAAAGTGATTGGACTCAGAAGATGCATTGGGGTCAAAAGTTTTCTTATGAATTATGTGTCGTAAAACACTTAATGCAATGGATATTGATAATATATTCATAAAACGGATATCTCTCGTGCTCACCATCTTACTTCATCAATTTTTTATACTTTTCCCGGTTTTAACATTTTGCACATTTAACGCCTTAAAATTTCTATTCAAAATATATGATTTAGAAGTTAAACCAGGTCTAAAGAAATTGGAAAAAAAAATCAGGACTGGGTTTAAAAATCTTTGCACATAATTTGTATTTATTGCTAAAAAAAATTAGTTTTATTTAGCGATAACTTTGAATTTTGAATAATATAACAATGCATCTTAATAGAAAATAGGCGGCCCAAAAATTTTCTTACTAGGGGAAGGTGCATATAAATTGTTACCCGACTAGATCACTGATACATAGCGTTTTGATTAAGGGAAATAAAGCTTATTTAATAAATATTTTATAATTTAATAGAAATATAAAAACTGTCAAATTTACCAGTTCTAATAACTAGTGCCTTGACTGGTTCTCCATGGGATGAACGAGTTTGCAATATTTTTGTGCCATTAAATAAAATTGATTTTGATTCCATTTTTATATTGAAAATTTTATCTTCTGGAGAAAGAGGTGTTTTCGTAAATGCCACGCTTTCACCTTGAGATAGATATTTAGAATTAAAAAACTAGCGTGGTCTCTAAAAATAAAATGAGCCTATCTCATTAAAAAGATTATTATCACATTATTTATTATAGAGTGATATATAGTAAATTCAAGGTATAAGCCAATCAGATAAATCAAATCATTTATATACGTTGAATAGCCTAATTTGGTGTAAATATGTTTCAACTTGTATATAGTGCCTACCCTATGAATTTCGAACAATTCTGTGATGTAATTAAATTAATTCCTCAACTTTTCTATAGACTTATATATAAATTCAAGATTTCGAGGCGCAATTGTCTGAAATATATGGCATTAAAGGCATGCCGAAATATATTTCAGGTGAAATTAGGTTATTTAATGTTTAAAAAGGCACTACAAATGATTCAAAATAGAAAAATTGGCGAATTCTCTTAATTCATTTAAACCATATGGCATATTATATAAAATTCAAAACACAAATATATATTTTAGATTTACCCGTAAGCATACTCTCATTTACAATGACGCTGCCACTCAATACTACCGCGTCGCACAACATTGTACTCTCATTTTCAGGTACTAACATTATGTCACCTGGAACTAATTCCTCGTATGTAATAGTAAGGATATCTAAAAAACACCAAAATTTAAAGCAGGGTTCTGGACTGACAAAATATTCCCCAGGATTGTTACAAATCCAGGTTTGAAATTATTTAAAAAACAAGTTAGGTCCAGACAGATTTTGACAGGACGAACCCAAACCCGGTTGTAAACTGGATATTTTGTCGGAAAATTAAGTGTAGTGCGCATATGATAATGTTTCATTAAGTTCATGTTAATGTATATAATATTTAGAATGGAAAAATGTAATTTAATGGCATATTGTTAAAATAGAGAAAATACTAAGGTGGGGCAGCATTGGAGTAAGACTAAATAAGCATAAGGGCCAAATTTATATAGCGAAAATAAATAGGCTACCACTTTTTAGCATCTCTAAGTAAAAAATAAAATATAATTATTTTTTACTTTTCAAGGAAGTAAATATTTGCACTGTGCCATTCATTGTCACAAGGTCTCTTAAATCCATTTGCATCTAAATACCAATCAAAATTATTTGAAATATTGTTTATATATTTAATAAAATTTGTCTGTGAATTTTTTTTAGTAAATAAATTAATATAATACATATACATACATTAACTTTTGAGTGCTATAATTGTACAACAACCCAGGGATATTCAAATTGTTACTACAAAATGAACTCTCAATGTTTTGACCAGTAGCCTCCAATTTTATGCTAAACTATGCTTATACAATGTTTCATATATTTTATTGAATGATTTTTATGATATAAACTTTGGATTCAAAAATAATTTTAGATCTCATAAATTATTTTTTTAAAACACGATATTAATTAATTATAATTAAAATTATGATTTTTAGTATATACATTGGCTTAGTTAGGGCTTAACTAGGTAGGGAGGGGGGAGGGTATAAATGTTTGTCAGCTTTGCCTTCAAACCCTAACAATTTCCATGTTGAAAAAATATGATTAGATATTTTTTCTTGCTTTTCAAAATATGTGTCAACCGCTTCACTGCAATTTCCAAGGCCATAATTCTAGACACATCATCATTAATCATCGCAAAAGCCCTTAAAAGAGCCAATATCCTATTTTTCTTAGAATCCATAGGGTTAAATTCATTGGACGACAAAAGACCAGATGGGTTGACTCTGATACCCTAGGGGAAAGGTATTGGTCTCGCTTGGGAATATATCTGCATAGATATATTTGCCAAATCACCATGAAATTCCATTTCCTGAAAAACAGCAAAAAAAGAAAAACTCATTCCTAAACAATGCCCGCTTCGTTCCCGTGGTACCACTACACTTGGCAATTTTAGACATGAGGCCCTCGCCTTTTTAAATCTATAGGAAAAAAGCTTTCGTGTTACTGATGATCATAAAGAATACTAATATCTGCGCCATAATATTGGCTCAAAAATTTGCAGATCAAGTTTTTATCGATCCATGGTTCCATGCAGTTTTCATAGATTTTTTTAAAAAATTTTTTTTATATGGTTTTTAAATTTTATTTTAATATAGTATATATTATGTTATATGGCTTTATTTGTAAATTTTGAATATATATTTTTTTAAATAAATAAAAGTTTTAAATAAAAAAATAAATAACATTATATCCTTTGCATTAAATTTACCAAACAATTGGAATCACTAGTTCTAAAATATATACCAATGTTTCATATTTTATTAGTAACTATAATTGCTTTAACAATTATAAAGTAAAAAATTATTAGTAACAAATTTTTGCCAACCTTACGATTGAAAAACGACTGAAAGCATTTATTCTTAAAATTTATCAATATTTAGGGTGTGTCCTAATTTGACTTATTACTAAACAGCCGTAAGTAAGAGAAAAAAACCACTAAACAACATCAAATACTTAAAACGAACTAAAATTTCGTTTATTTTGCATTAATGATTGTGTTATTTTTTTGTTTTTTGCGTTTTATTCTTTCTTTTGCTTTTAAGGGTGTTAAGTTAATACTAAATAACCGGCTAAACAACTGACTGTTTAGTAGGCTGTGTCCTGGTTCGACTTAATTTTGATACTTAGTTGCTTTTTAGCCTAGAATAAACGGCCTCTGACTAGGACGTACCTATTTTGGGTTGGTCATAAATTATTGTCTTTTTTTTTGTTATATTTTTTTTCATTCTTTTTTTGTTATATTTTTTTTCATTTCTTTTTGTTACTAAATATCTGGTTTAAGTTAATATTTAGTCCTTGGCTATTAAGGGAGACCCGGAATAGTGTTATCCCGAGGCAGTTAATTTCTTCTCAAATAATGTTAAAACTAATTAACTTTGATATTTGAATTTTAAAAATGTATTTTATTACGATGCTTACTTATAAATGTTTTAAAAGTTCGGCATACACATGAGATGTTTTAAATGAAAATTTAAATTTTTAAATTTTAACACGTCAAAAGTAACTTTTTATTTTTAAAATTTTTTACCAATAAATTTGTTTATAAATATTACAATTCTAAATGATAAAGTATACAGTACACTCAATTTCACCCTTTACATGTTTATTTTATATCTTAAATTATTTTATTAAAAGTGAATACCTGGAGCAGGTTTTGACGGGCTGCGTATTAGCAATTTTCAAGTAGGGATTTATTTATATTTAAAAGAATCCAACTAAATTTATAAGAGAACTAGAAGCCCTGAGTAATAACAATATGAAGTTGTGTGACTTATTTTTTGTAAATATATAAGTTAAAGTGATAACAAGTTCTTTCGAGTGATATATATTACATGCATGAACCTGATACTTTTAACATATTTGATAATGTATATTTATTAACTTAAGATAAATATTAATATAAATTTTTTTAAAAAATCTGAAAAATAAAGAAGCGCATGTAACACACCGTGTAAAAGGTACTTCAAGTGTTTTTTATTTTTATTTTTTGAAATTTATATAAATAAAAAACCAAAAGATTTTTTTCTTAAATACTAATTTCTACCGTAGAAATACATATAATGAATAACTACGTTTAAATATTGTGTTTACATCAATATTCAGCGCTTTGCTTATTAATTCTTCAATCAATACTGACAACCACAAAAAGGTAACCAAATTATAAGCCAAATAAAAACTCTGGAAGCATTAACTCTGATTCATACCAATAACTGGTGCGTATTTGGTAAATTTTAATGCTTTAACCCGTTTGGTAGAGGGTTTCAAGAATAACACATTATTGACAACTAAGGAAAAATAGCAAAGATTAGCATCATGCTAAAATAAATATAATAAAAGCTCTGAATATCTGTATGCGCAAATATGTAATACCTGCTTAGTATACACCAATTCATCAATTAGCTTTCCCAGTCAATAAAACAGAAACCAGTGATAATACTTTTTAGGCTTAGTCTTAAATATTGGATTTCCAATTGCGATTCAAAAATCAATTTCATCTAGAAACATTAAGATCTCTTTTTTTCCCGATTCAAAATAATTTTAAATTTTATGATTCTGCTATCTATTCGATATTATTTTTTTCTTTTCGATTTATTAAATAGATTTAGAGATAAATAGTTAAAACCTAATATATTTTGAATCAGTTATATTTTCAAAAATTTTATAAATACTTTTGAATCTCATATTGAACCTCTGTTAAGTATGAAGTTTGTCAAACTTTTAAAAGCACGAATTCTAAAGCTTAGGCAAATAAGTAATGCTTAACTAGTGTACATTTCAATTTAATCCTTAAATCCGTTTGGTAAACAGTATAAAATAAAAAAGGTATTAGAAAAATAGAAAATTTCGAAAATTAATATCAAGATTCAAGACAGAACGAAGAATATGGAAGAACAAAAGCAATTATTATATAAAAAAAATTAAATTAACGAAGTGTATTTAAAATAATTATTATCGTTATATCATAAAAATCAACTTTTTATCGTATTTTGAAATATGAGACTCGATGGGTAGTAGCTTTGATACTTTTATAATTTAATAGAGATTGCATAAATAAAGTCAAATAGATATGTGGCAACTTTGAAAAATATGATACCAAAATAAGATGGATTGATTACACTGAAATTGAAAACGATTTAGATGATTTTTTACCCCCAAGTTCTAAAGGTTGAGAAATTGTTTAGTAAAGTAATAATAATAATAAGTGCATTAACAGTAAAGGTCAGTCGGTGCACAAATATAAGCATCTTTTGAATGTATCCCGTTTTTTCAAAACAATTTTTTAAATGTGATTTGATAGAAATAGAATTTAAAAGAAATAAAAACAATATCTACATCAGTAGCGCTAATTGGTGGGGTGGGGGAAATTGGAAGGGTCTCGAGCCTATTGAAAAATTTTAATTTTTTGAAAATATACCAAAAAAGAAGGTAATTTTGGAAATATTGTAAATACAAAATTTTACTACTTCTATTTTCCATGTGGCTGAGGAGTTCAACTCCAAAACTCACCCTTGTATCTGCCACTATGTAAAAATATGAAATATAATTATAAGGCAATTTTGCTTTATTTTCGATATTTTTTTAAAAATTTTTGATCTTTTTAATTATATTAAAAAATAGCATGATATAAAATCTATATTAAATGAACATTTAAAAAAAATTAAAATGACATTAAAAAAAAATAAAATAAGTAAACAATTTAAAAAAGACAAAAATAAGTTTTATAAAAACCATGGGGAAGATGGCAAAAAAAGAGACTATTGAGATCCGAGGAAACTAAGATAGTTGCCTCGAAACACAGCGATTTGAGTTGATGTAACATTTTAAAAGAGGATGATCACCATTATTTAGAATTTTTTTTTACCTAAAATCTTTAAAAAATGGTAACTTAGGGGGCCCAGAGACTCATTGGTGGAAATAACTATTGGGATAAAGTGAAAATCAGAAAAGTCGTAGTACTTTCTAATTTTTGACCTTTCAGCTATAATCATCGGATCAATGTTTGGGTTAGAGGAAAATTGAGAAACACACACAAGTGAAATCCAAAATAAGGTGTTTTCCTCTAAACTAAGGAGTGCTTGTAACCCCATCTAGTCTTTTCCCATTAGACAAGGATAAGTGGACGGGCTTCAGACGGTTAGAGTAGTTAGCCAACCCTAATTTATTAGAGATTATAGTGTTAATAGCTCTATGGCCTGAACCGTCCTTTAGAATATAAACTGTTAGATCATGTCGGCTCTTAGGATTGGAGTCTTTCCCGCACCCCCTGCATTTATGTGGTAGGTCACAGCCAAGTCTATATCCTATGGTCTCCCTTAGCTCCTCGTCGGATAGCAAAAGACCAAGATTGGCACTAAGGACAGCGTCAAGTCATTCATGGCTAGAGTTTTGTCCCAAGTAATATTTAAGGATTGAAATGTCTTCAAGGGAGGGGTGATCTCCACCTATTTCTTAAAGTTAGCCAGAAGGGGGCTAAGAAAGTCTCTTTGTGGCGAGTACTGTAGAAGTGATACAAGGCATAAATTTTTCTTCCATAAGTTACAGGCAGTTTCAAATAAACTATTCCTAGCCCTCGCTTATTTATAACCTCCTCGCATTGAAGACCAGAAGAAAGTTAAGGTTTAATTTAATATAGTACAAAATATCAAAGTTTAACATATTAATTTAGTTGTGATATAACAGTTTAAAAATGGGAGTGAGTTATTTCCATCTTATTACTCAAGTGTAATAAATTGTAAAGATATTATTGATGTTTTCAATATATTTCATACCTTACGTGTCCTTCGAATAGTTATCGTTATTAGGATTATTGATAAGCATATTATATAGGAAACGAAATAGTAGTAGTCTTGAAAAATCCATAGAATGCATGAATACACTTGAAAGATGTAAAACGGATTTAAAACCTAACAATTAAATAATGTAAAAATATGACAATTCAAGGATAAATAAATTTATTCTGCTGTAATATGTCTTGATATATATATTTGTCAAATTGATTAATATTAAATAAATTGTCTCACAAGTCTTTAAATAACATTGAATAAATTATAATTCTGGCATAATTTACTAAGGGCGTGCCGATACCACTTTTTGGAGATCGATCCATCTTATATTGCCGATATTAAATTGATATCGGCTGATTACCGATACGATCCTATATCATATCTGATTTTGCATTCTGTAAACATACAAATCGTTTTAATTTTTAACTCATCTCATACTTTTTAATAGTATAACATCTATAATTTAACTATACCATAGCATAAGTCATTTAAATATATTGTAATGATCAGTTATCGTTTATATTCATGAATCTAAAGGTATGTAAAAATTTTTTATTGATAAATCACTTATTTATATAACATTGTTCTATTTGCATAATAAGTAACAAACAAATATATTATGAAATTTGAGTTAAATTTTTTAAAATTAAGACGCCATTTTATTAAATCGGATCGAAAATTTTATAATATGGCATAACCGATATTTAAAAAAGAAGAAATACAGACCCAATCCGATAAAAATTATCTGTACATCCTTATAATTAACACATATTATTATACTACAGGCAATTTTCCAAATTAGTAAATATAAATTGCCTGAAAATATTAGGCAAGAAACCGATTATTTAGAAGTCAAAGCAGTACACATATTTCTAAAATTAAGCAAACTAACAATAAATTTTTTTCATTGATTAATAATTTTATATCCATATGTTAGTCATAGTGTTTAAATGCTAGGTGAAAAATAATTTTGCATTATTTGGAGACAATAATTTAACATAAGTGTGGCTGAAATTTATCTAAGACCTGTTTTTCGGTCAGCCAGAAATATTAGCTCTTATTAATTATGAAAATGACTTACCGGAATATAACATAAAAACGTTAACCAAAGAGCCAGAGTAGAACCTGATGCCGAACCGCAGAACCAGAGGAAGCAGGATCAAACACCAATAGAATAGAAGGATCACCCAGATCACCCAGGGAAAGATCAGTTCATTCATGAATTAATAAAAAGCATTCAGGGAATAACCTGACATTGAGTAAAAACTGGGCATGATCAGAAATAAAAAAACTGCAGCAAGAAAAAACTGGCAACAGATAATTTTGTATTCCGGCATAGTTCAAATATAGTGGTGTTGAAAATGTCCCAGAAAATACTGATAATAATGCCACCGTTCCCATCCCATTACTAGGATGAGATATCCTCATTAAGAGCGTTATACTTGATCTTAGTAGCACAAATTATGCATTTAAAAGTTGTTGCCTAAATGTAATGTCAACGGTTAAATAGAATAAGAGCGGAAATGGAATTGAAAGAGTAAGTTAAACTAGGCTAGAAGCAAACGATGCACATCAAAGAAATGCAAACGTTTTAACTCACGTATAAAATTCAATAACCATATATGAGTTAAATATGGATTGCTATTATAAATGGTGAATTTGAATTATGCTTTTATTGCCTTATTTTTTTTTATTAACTGTCATATATTGAAAAATCTTAATAAAAAGGTGAAGAGTTTTTTTCGAAAATTCATTTTTTAAATTTCATACTTACCAGTTTTAGAATCGATTCCTAGAAAAAATAAAACAAATACACATATTCAACTCACTTCGGTTTTAGGTTAGAGGATAATAGGGTGAAATATTAGTTTTTTTTAAATTTGTCATAGAAATCGATTTTAAACTTAGTAACTCTAATATTATTTAAAAAAATTCTAAATAAATACTTTTTGGCAATCACCTTTCCTATTTATTTTCTGTAAGTTGATGAGTCAAACATTAAATATTTCGTATTTTTTTCTAGGAAGAGATTTTAGAAATATTATTAACTTTCAAAGAAAATTATTTCGCAATCTACCTTTAATTTTTCGGTTAGCTGAAGAGTCATAATATAATATTTTTTATAATTTATTTATAAATCGATTCTAAACTTAGTAATAACTATAAAAAAAAGTAATTCTATTTAACAATCTACTTTTTCTAGTTCTTCAGTTACGGTTGTTGACGAGTCAAATACATATTTTAAACTTAAGATTAACTATAACAAATATTTCCAAAAAGAAAACTCTTTAACCATCTCTTCCAGTTTTTTACTTAGGTGACAGGTTTTTTAAAATACTTTTCTATAAATAGTTACTAAATTTCGTAAAAATGTGAACAAAACTATAGAAATCTGCCTTTTCTAGTTTTTCGAGAAATTGACAAGTCAAATATAATTTTTTCCCATAAATCTAATATAAATTCAACCTTTACTACAAATATTTTTTTAAATAAATTTTCAAAGAAAACGAATTTAAGTGCTACTTTTTTTAAATTACATTTTGTTTCTGCCCATGTTTTCCTCATAAGAAATTATTGATGAATAAAAAAAATTTGATTGCTAGATTATTTTATATATCGTTTCAAGCGATGTTGGTAAAAATTATATAAAAAGGAATAGGTATATTGTCTTATTAACACTTATGCAATGTTTGCATTAACGGATGAATCAATAGTACGTATTATGGCAGGATTTCTAGAATGCCTGTGATATAATATTGGTTATGGTCTAATTTTGGGTATTTATTTTACAAGAAATATCTTGTACTTACATTGGAATTCATTTAAAATTTTAGTGTTGTTAAACGGATCGACTTGAGCCGATTTTTAAAAACGACTAATCAATATTTTTGTCGAAAAATATTGCCTAAACCTGATTTCATTAATCGATGTATGCCCAAATCTTTGTGCCATCTATGACTAAAATCTTTAGACTTGCATAATATTTTTATGGGTAAAATATTGAGATAGCCGTTTTTAAAAATCAGCTCAAATCGTGCCATTTAACAACACTATAAATTTAATTGAATTAAAAGAATAAACCTTAACTTAAAAAATGTAATTTAATGATATAAATATACCAGACCTGCAGGCCCGGCCCTAAGGCCAGCCCAGGTACACAGGCCGGGCCGAATTTTAATTTTTTTAAATATACCCGAGCCGGGCCTAAAATTTTTTTAAAAGAGGCGAGGCGTTTATTTTAAAACAAAATTATTTAAATTGCCATTATTAGCCATAAAAATTAAAAATAAATAGAATATATTTCAAAAAAAATCCGGTGCAGGCCTTAATTTAAAAAAAAAATCCGGGTCGGGCTATGCAAATGGTACCTCTGCAGGTCTCTGAAATATATATTTCTAATTATTTAATATTTACGAAGATTGTATTTGTCTCAACTTATATTAAAGTGCATAAAATAAAAACAAGTGAATAAAAAATAAACAAATTACTTCTAAAAATAAAAGTGTTAATCTTGATGTAATTTCTATATGAATTTCGTTCTGTTCGTATAGATTTCGCCTGATAAATAAATTAAATTTTTTATAGTAAAAAAACATCATTTTAAATATACATGAATGATAAATGTTCAAGTTAATGGGAGTTGCTTATTTGTTAATGTCAGTGGCGTAGCAAAAGGACTCGCAGACTTTGCGGCGCGGGAAGGTATCAAGGTTCTTGAAAACTTAAGGACACCAAAAAAATATGTCAATTTTTTGAAAAATGATATTACCCACATCCTTAGTCAATTCAAGCTTATTTAATGTATGATAGGTGGGAAAGGTATAAAAATAATACTACCAAGCTCAGGACAATCATTCTAAATAAATGTAAATATACAATGCATAGAATTGTAGACGTGATAATAACATTATCGTGAGCCAATCTTGCTATACATGGGCACAATGATATTTATTATGTTAAAAACAATATTTTATAATTTTTTCTGTTTAATAAGTTAGCAATTATGATTAAATTCTTCAGAATTTATTAACTTTAAAAACATAAAAAAATTATATTTAAGCCAAATAATAGGAAAAAACTTATTTTCACAATTTCAAGTTCTATTAAAAGATAATAATTGATTGAATTAGAGAAATTTATTTTATTCAATAAAGAAAATAAACCGACTGAAAAGAAAATAATGAACCCTTCTTTCAGAATTCATAACATCTTATATATTAAAAACTCTATAAAATTTAAATATTAATATTAATAAATGAAGTGCGCTAGGATACGAGGGAACTTTTAATATGAGTGGAATATACTCAATGATGCAGACAAAAATTAAACATAACCGTATAACTAACAAAATTTCAAAATGTTTTTTTGCATTTATGGGTTTATTAAAATGTTTTCAATCATATCTAAAAGTTCATAAACTAATACTAAATAGAAATGTCTTATTTTATCCTATATCAAAAACAGCTATTCCATATTTTATTTTTTCGTAAAACACATATCTTTTTTTACAAGCGCGAATCAAAATCTTATTCATTGGCTGTTTCTAAAGTTATTTTATATAGCATTATGTCTTATATATAAATATTTTTATAAATCGTCATTTTAGAGCCGTAAAGTTATGAAGGATCTCAAATCGGGGCATGATAATTCAAAACTTCTTAGAATTGCCCACAGCTTAAAAATCGAAATATATTTTATGCCAACTGACTAAACATGGAAATCCAAGATTAAAGATCTTCGATGCTTATAATATTTACATTATGGTTATAAATTTAAAACTAATGTATTCCCAAGAATGGCAACATCTTCCTAAATACCAAATAGTGGAACTATGGTTTCTATAAACAACGCCGAACAAAAGAAATTTTTTAAAATTTGCAGGAACTTAAAAATGTCTTAATCTTAAATATTGTTATCATTTTTATAATAATTTACCATATTTTATGTAAATAATTTGTTTTAATTAATTTGCGATTATTATTATGATAGTACTGTTAATAATGATAAGTTAGCTTAAAACTTAACATTTTACAAAAAATTACCTTCCACAAAATGTCTACTATAATGATATATTTTAAATCTTTTATAATAATTGTACACCACTAAAATTATTAGGGATAATTAATTTTTAACATTTTATAAATACAAGTAACTCGCAAAAAGTTTCAAAAATAACACAAAAACTGGTAACTAACATGCCCGATTTTCCATTGACGATAACTAGGTATATAACATAATTAAATTCATTATAAGTGGGTATATAACACAATTACAATTATTCAAATAATATCATATTTAATATATAATCAATGTTAAAATTTGTTTTTTGTTTCTCCTGTAAATTTCAAAATGATAGTTAGACAGTTTTGCAGTGAAAACGATGTGTACACTGTGCTTAGCAACTTGAGCCTAGTATTAAATACTACTACTAATAATATTAGTAAAATCAGAAACTTTTGTGATATTAAAGAATTTGAGATGGTCATCTAGACATGACGCGATATTTTCAGTTCGATATAAACACACATCAATAATGAAAGTATACTAAAATTTTATAAAATAGCCAAGCAGGGATCCAAACCGAACAGCTAAAATGCATCTGAACCGGTTTGAGCTTCATGTTTTTATGCTTATAAAATAATGTGTAAGTTATTACTAGTATATTGGAATTTTTTAAATTATATTCGAATTGTTTCAAAAATTAATATCAATCACTTTGATTGATAAGTGTCAGTCATAATTTTTATAAACTTTAGTATATTGCTATTTTACAACATATTTTAAGCTTTTAAATTATAATACCTAGAAAAATTAAATCCAATGTATAAATTATTTACATATAGTATTATAAATGACACATCAAAATGTAATATTATTAATTGTTATATAAATATGAAAAGCTATCATGGAGCAAATCTTGAGCGACACATATAAAAAGACCACCCTCTAGAATTTGATAAAACTAACAAAATATCACAGCAAAAGGCTAATAAAATAAAAAAAGTTTATTTCATTAAGCAAACAGATGATAGAAAAAACATTAAAAGAACAAACAATATCAGTAAAACTAAATAAATAAAATAATAATCGTTGTTTGTACTGAGTTGGTCACTTCTGATGGCAGATTCAAATTAATCGATGATAGCGGGTTTAAAAAAAATCTCGATCCTATATTAGAAGGCATGGGTAATATTAAAATTAATTATCAAAATATTCAATCCAATGTTGCAGAACTAGCCTTAAGTATTCAGCAAAATATAATCAAAGAAATAAATGATAGGTTATTATCTCTAAAAATTGACTGTGTTACTCGTATAGGCAGGTCCATTATTGGGATTAATCTTCAGTATATTCAAAAATTGCTCTGAGAACACTAGCAATGAAAGAAATGTTTGAACGACCCACTGCAGAAATTTAAGACTCCTTTTAATAAAAGTATTAAATGATTATGAAATGAAAACATCACAAATATACACTATAACAACTGACGATGGGGCAAATCTTATTAAGATCATAAAATTATTTATGGAGGATAGTGATGATGACAATCAAATGTCTGAAAATGATGAAGAAGAACATTACAAACTGATATCATACTGGCAGTTCCGGCTACCCAATTTAGTGTGAAAAGATGTTTTTTACCAATTAAAATTTCCTTATAGATTTAATTTGAGTGAGACGAATCTTGAAAATATATTCATTGTGTGGCTTAATATAAATTTTTAAGTAACTAAAGTTCAATATTGTTCATATTAAAATAAATCATTGATATTTATTTGTTACATTTATAAATTAAATATTTATAATCAATTATAAAAATGAAGGTTTCATGTATATGTTTTTTATTTTAATAATGAAAAAAAAAATCTTCCCTATGCATAATTCGAATGTAAGTTTGAATACAAAAGTGCTCAAACCGGTTTTTAGAGGAACCGATATTTTTATTTTTTACGAACCGAACCGGAACTTTGAACCGTTATTTTTATCCGAACCTGAACCGAACCGATATTCGTTTCGGTTTGGAACCCTGTAGTTAAGAAAGCCAGGAAGCAAAATGTATTAGAAATAAAGTGGATTGCATTTATATTTCTCAAATATTATAGCATAATATCTATAATCTTCGAATATAACTTTGTCAAGGTGAAAGTTTGCAAAGTGGAATGATATTATCTTTAATCATATTGATGGATTCATTTAATTTTCTTCCTTAGTATCTCATAAATTTGTCGAAAGAAACATTATATGATTATGTAGAGCGAATAAACATATATAACAAAGATTTAAACGGTTCATTTCCAAATGAACTTTATAATTTCCGTTCGACATTATATAAAGAAATCAAAAAATTTTAAACAGTGCAAGATTTAGCAAAGTTTATATTGATCGAAAATACATAAATACTGCCAAGCTTTTATAATGTTAGCACCGTCTGTCTTCTGTCTCTGATAACACCGGTGGCAACACAGATAGTCAAAATTAATCTTCGAAGTTCAATCTTATCTGTCAACAATTTTGAACCAACTTCAAAATATCAAAAAAAAAAAATTTCTTAAATTTATAAAAATATCTATAAATATAATCTCCCTCATTACTTTTATATATTTTATACTATTGCTTGATTAATTATATATATTTACAATGTTTTAAATTTGTTAAAATAAAGTTAAATTTCTATGTAAATTGTGTCTTACTTTTAATTAATAAAATACGTTATATGGAAAAATTAATAATTAAGAAAAGAGCCCCAAAAACAATTTTTCGACAGGGCCCATATGAAGGTTGTTACGCCACTGGTCAACGTTATGATATTATATATACATCAATATTAAAGGTTAATTAACCTTTTACATCTTTCATCCAAGCTCAGGATTTGCATTTTGTAAAAATTTGAACACAGCATACCTTCTTCAATTCCTCTGCAAAATATACGAATTAAATTACAGTTGAAAATTAAAAATTTTCATAAAACAAAATTAATGAAAGAGATATAAAAACTTCAATTGTTCAAAATCTTTTTCTTCGGTTAACCAGACATATTTGATCTTTTTATTGATAAAAAAACGAATCGTAGGTTGCTTCAAAATTTTTACCTGGGTTAAGGATTTGTATTTTTTATTAAAAATTAATGAATAATCAAAATTAAAATATATTAATTATTCTAACGAGAATTGTTTTTGCTCTATGGAATTAATAAAAAAGTTATATGATTTATATAGCATATTTTGAATCATGCGCAAACAGAAGTTCGAGACTGACATAACCCGAAAATTTGAGTTGCGCTGAAAGTGATTAGCATAAATTAAGTGATATACCATTAATTAATTTATATAATAACATATGTCAAAGCTAAGGTGCAAAATTATCCAGTTTGCAACCTATTTTACTGATCGAAGATGGTATAAATAAAGGCTGCCACAGAGTTATTTCCATTTGACGTATACTCGTATTAATTATTTCGATTGACTTACTGAAATTCATTTTGTCCTTACTGACAAGAGTGATATAAAACAAGTTATACTAGATCAGATAAACTTGAACAGTTTGCCCAAATACTATAAACATAACAAATAAAAGGCTAAGACAGCAGCGAAAAACATTAGATACTAAAAACAAATAAATTATACTTGGCTAAAAGGACAAAGGAGTTAAAAACCAATGAAACAAAATATCAGACAGACTTTAATAATAAATACTATGTAAACGATCTCCATGTGACAATAATCTTGCTAATAATTGAAGAAATTATTAATAAATAAGCAAAAATCCAAGAAAACGAAAATGTTAAATTAATAAATTCTGCAAACATTATATCAAAGAAAAACCCTGTTTACTCCTCGAGATTTACATTATATCGATGCAATTATAGCGACAGATAGAACTATAACTCAAATACCATGTGTTAAATAACAATAATCTTAGAGATTTTTCAGGTTATGCCAAAATTTCCAAACCAATGAGCAATATAATATACAAATAAATGACCAGAGTTTAAACAGCGAAGGATACCAGGGAACTGGGAGCGCTTTTGGCATGTCTAGCACCTCTAATAGGAGGAATATCTTGAAAAAGTTTTATACATCTGTCAATATGATCGGTTTTCTTTTTCGAACCATTGCTACTATTGGTTATTATTCCTTAAGTAGATTTCTAGAAGAAACGTCATCAGTGTAGGTTTTACACTTTTTAGTGTATTATTATTAAACAATAATGAATTGATTCCAATAATTTTTCAACTGCCGCTCTAATTGAAACAATTTCATGTAGATATCTGGGTGTAAAGCGGGTCTTCTGAAAAGTCGAATTATACTCATTTGGGATATCTCAGAGTCTTTTAATCATTAAACTATTATTTTAACTAGAGATGATATTTTTAGAGCGTGTTTCTCGAAACGATTTTTCTAACTCTTTGTATGAATTTGTAACTGTTTGTATAGTATCAATATCTCTAGATCTATAATATGGCAGTAGCTATTTATTTTTCGATTTCCTTCTTTATATGATTCATAGCTAATTAATGAAACCGTCTTTCAATCTTTCCGATAGTTATGACCGGAGAAATAACAAATTAGGAAAAGGTTAAAAATTTTTAAAATTATTTAAGAGCAATATTATAATAGTGGCTAGAAATATCATTTTTCCGTCTCATTAAATTTAATGTGGTTGTTTTTTTAAAGAATCACGTGATAGTTTTTAATCTTACCAAAATTCTAAAATGGCTGAATGAAAATAAATGTTTCAAAGTTTTCTATATATGTAAAAGGTTAATGCCCAAAAAGCTACTCTAATATCTAAAAAAATCTAAATTTAAATATAATATGAAGACATTAAGGTGATCGTTTTTTATTGAGGCAGATAAATATATTATATATGTAATTGGTAACTATCAAGAACAGAAACTTTTTTAAAGATATGGCTTTAAAAAAATAGGTCTATATAGATATTTATTCATAATGGCCATGAGGAAATATATAAACAAATTTTAAATTTTTTTAAAGTAAAGTTCTTATTTTTTACCAAAGTAGGCGTAAAGTATTGATAATTTTCATCGAACAAATAATTATGATTTGCTTCTTCTGAAGTTTGTTTTAAATGTAGATTTTCTTTTTCCTCGGATAATACCATCATTTGCTCATCGCTGTCATGTTTTTTTAATTTTGCCGTGTCCTTGTAATCAACTGTTGTTTTAATATTCAGACTATTGGCGACCCTAAATTTTAATTATAAATATTATATAGGTATAATATTTAATTACATATTTATTATAGTAATAAAGATAATAAAATGTAAAAGGTGGTCTGTAAAATATAAAGTTTACTGCTGCCCCATCATTTCAATCAACCATTAAAAATTATAACATACAGGATCTAACGCATACACTCCAAGCCAATTATAATATTAATCCCTAACAGAAATAAGAATATCCAAACTAGCAAGAAAAAAAAAGGAAATCCAAGTTATTGAGAAATAAATTAACGAAAAAAAAGGAATTCAAATCATCTCAAATCTAGCATAAAAAAAGACACTCTAATAACACAAAGGAAATCCAAATTAAAAATAGCACTAAAGGTTTAAAATTAGCATACTCCTTAGCCGTACATTTATTTATCCCCCCCCCCCAACACTTCCTTTAATGTTATTTTAATGAGGACATCTTCACAAATCGCTACCCCTCTTTAATTTCCATGGCAATCTTGCGTTCAAATTATTAATATATATTTTTTTATTTGATTATGCGAAATACCCTCTAATATAAATCAAATCTAATCTCGAAATAGTATGATATAAGCATCCCCTCGGATAATTTTTGAATTATTAACAAATAGTAGAGAAAAGGTTTGCGAAATTGTAAAAAAGGGTAAAAATTCTCAAACAAATGATTCTACATGCAAAAAGGAAGACATTTAGTGACAACTAGGATAGATCCTTATACGACTTAGTAGATACCCAAGTGGTACAATTATTTTACTGTTTCATACCCACTTTTATCAATTCATTTGTCCTCACCTCACCGGTGGCCTAATCCTTTTCAATTGAACACTTATTATCTAACTATTTCATATATTGAATTCCTCACCATTTTTTTTATTTCATCATTTTGAAAAATTGTCCCAACAAATATTAAAACCTATGTCATATGTCCTAATTTCTCATTTTTCATAATTCATCTTTAATTTTAATTCTTATACTATTTTATTTTGTCGGCACATATCTTGAAATTTTTTTTCAAGTCTACAATTATTTAATTAAAATTATTTATTTTTAGCTTGTTAAATTGAATTTCAATTTTTATAATTCTGTTGAATTAATTTCATTTTACTATAATTTTACATTTTAGATCATTATTTTTTTTTACCAAGATAGTTAGAAACTATCAAATTCTTTCAATTGCTATTCAACAATCTCGCAATATTTTAGATTAATAAGCCAATAGCACTATTTTTCCCTCCTTTATTGATTCTGGCCCTCATATAACCCTCTTGAGTGTAAAGAATAATGCCCCACAAGAAGCTTTTGATACCTCAATGAAAGCGCTGCTGAATAGCATTTATATAATTTTATGTAATATGACATTTTTTCATGTATAATATTAATAATTATATTAAAATCTTATATATTTCTTTTCACTACTATAACAAACTCTCCTAGCACTCCTCTCCTCATTCCTGTTGCGTTTTCAGCAAATGAGTTCCCAACTCCTTCCGAGCCGCACCGTCGAAAATCAACTCAACCACGAGAATAATTCTGCAGCTTCTTGTATATTGACATCTGCTAATTTCTTCCCTAAATCTATCAAAAATTGCCTATTTTCTTATATATCCTTGAATACTTTACAGTCAAAATAAGTTGTATAAAATTGAGAGATTTCATATTAGATATGAAATTATATATGTAAAAAAAAATATTGCATTTAATTTTTATTTGATTATACTTATCTAATCTTTTGATCATAATATCTTCCACGAAATATTGCCCATATTGATCCTATTTAAAAAAAATTTTAAAAATCTAGTTTTTAATTTTATTAAGTGTAAAGTCGAGTTAGTTTTTTCAAACAGCGTGTTTTCAACTTTAAATCATTTATAGAATAATTTTTAAATTTTTTAAGTCTACTTTTGAAGGAAATATAATCCAACATATGTGGAATTATGAATTAGACCATTTTGACATAACCATCTTTAGTTAAGGTTAATTAATTTTTCCCATAGATTCATATAAATTTTAAATGGCTCAAAGGCTCCTTACAAATTTTGAAATTCATAGAGTATGTATTCTATATATGCTGGAATACATTTCAGCCAAAATTAGACTTTTTCAAATAAGCGCTCAATAAATGATTTAAGTTAAAAAAATAACACATTGGTGGATAAAATAATAGTAAAATCTTAAATTTGTAATTAAATATTATTTATCAGAATAACAAAATTAAATAAGACTAATCAATTTTTATTCTGATTTCTTAATTATACAGAAACATTTTTAGATACTTACAAACTTTGAGGTTTTAAAAGTGGGAGAGAGAACGAAAAATAAATTATTTATTTATTTAACTTATATCTAGAAATAATATTCTTGTCACGCTATTAAATATTAATATAGATATTATTAATCGGTAGGTAGAAACTAAAATAATTGAGCAAGAATAAGAATAGGTCAATTCAAACTAACATAATTGGAATAATATTTATGGACTCATTTATTCTATAATCTAAAAATTCGATAAATTTTAAAGGGTTAGTACATTATATGAAATTTAATTTGATGATGGAGGCACTTTAATTCACATTTATAGATGGATCTGATTTTAGATATAGATATTTAATTTTAATAGAATTGAAATTACTTAGCGTTAAGACACTAACTTAATATCAAAGACTTGCAAAGCTACCAATTGCACGGCCCGGCTAGGATTTTTTTAAAAGAATCTTTAGGACCGGCCCTATTCAAAAAAATTGCCTCGACCCGGATTTTATATTTTGGATATTTTTGAAATATATTTTATTTATTTTTAACTTTTATAGCTAATAATGGAGATTAAAAATATATTGCCGTCCGGTCTGGGCATTTTTTTTAAAAAAAATTTCAGACCCAGCCTGCAGGTCTCTGCTTTATATGTTAAATCATAGAGTCAGTTATATATTCATAAAAACTATAATTTAAATTTAATTAAATGTACTTGGAGCAATATTTTTGTGCACCTATCTAAAGGGCAAATGTTGTGAGTCCACTTTAAAAACCATTGATGTTTCCAATGAAATATCAATCTTAATAAACCAACAGTTAATAATATACATACCCATGTCATAAATTGCTTAGGCCGTGATAATTCGTACCCGCAACCAATCTAAGCATTTATTTAAATAACATATAATCCATGTAATTAATGCATTTGGTAAAGATATATTATAGCATAAAAATTATTATAAAATAAAAACTATTATATTAGATGTCTAAACTAGTTTGTTTTCTTTTTCGATATTTTTATATCTAAACTAATGACATTAATACTAATATAGACTGACATTTCATTTATTAAATATGTATATGCAGTGAAGTGAGCCATAGTCAATGTCATTGACTGTAGTAGATGCCATCGAAAGTAATTTCGTCATGCCTTCCATATTTTGTCTAAATAACTTTCAATGACGGACTTCAATATATGTTACACTTATGTATGAATTGTCAATCTTGGCTAGTAATAATAACTCTAAATTCAAACTCTCAGATAAAATAATATAATGGAGAAGAAAACTAGGGTGACCAGTCAGTCAACATGGCCACTTATCTCTGGTCTTACCAAATTATAAACAATAATTTTTTGAAATAATAAGCATAAGTTTATAATTTTTTTTAAAATATTCACTATAATTGAAATTTTTCAGACAAAAACATTTTAAGGTCTATACTAAATTATTTTTAAAAAATGTAACCAGGTAAAAGTCCTGATGTGTGCCCACACCCCTCTATTCTAAAACCATCCAATAAAATGTATGAGGACAAAAGCCGTCTAAAATCCCACCCCCTCACCATAAGCCTATGCTTTGTACTATATTTTTAAAAATATATTGTATATTTTTTCTCATGAAAAATTATAATTTAAAAAAATATATAATTACATAAATTTCAATCTGATATCTATGAAGAATTAAGAAGAACTAATTATTCTATTACATCTTGTGACAGGAGTTGAAATATTTTATACTATCTCAAATTGCAATATAATACATTATTAATTGAAAATTTATACTTTTTGTATAATTTAAATAGAAATATAAAAGAATATGTTCTTTCACCCTGCAATATTCATAAAGATAGGCAAAGTGGTTTTTAGTTTCTTGAAGGGAAATAAAAAGCACAAAATTATGCCCAAAATAGAGGTGATAGCTTTTCGTGCAAAAGTGATTTGCATACTTAAAGGTGAAATTTTATTTACTATCGAAAGAAGACTACAAGTTTTTTATTCATAATATATGTGTTTATTCGTTATATTTTTTACAATTTACGATTCTTGAAAAAATAAAACCACCACCAGCAAAAATTCCATAACCGAATTAATTTTTTTTCTCTTCAAAATAATATATTAATACATCCTTTTTCAATAAAAATTTTATATCTTTGTTAAAACTAAAATGTAACAAATAAATAGGGGAAAATATAAACAAGAACAAAAGTTTCAAATATTTCAGGTTTTTTTTGTTGCTAAGCCTTAAGCAATTAATTAATGGGATAAGTTGGATTTAATAAACAATTTATTATTATTTATCAATATTTTTTGTGCTAGCATGACATAATCGTTATAAGATTAAAATGTCATTTAAAAAAAAATTATGATGAATGCCTATAATGACTTTAAACCAGCTTAATCAATTCTAGACTTGGTCGGAATACTTTAATTTGTAACATACTTAGGTCATTATTTATCAAGCTAATATACTTAGTTTTAATTAACAATTTTTGATTTCAAAATAGTTTAGGATTTTTCAATATTAATTCAATTTTAATTTTAAAAAAAACTTATAAATTATGAGGAATTGAAAAAAAAAACATTAATCAGACTCTTAATGATTATAGAAATATTACTTTTTTTAATTTCAATTTTTATCATATAAATTATTTTTCATGATTCTACCGCAACTACAATATTATTTTATTTTATCATAAATTTTTTACTCACGCGAAATATAAAGTCATGAGATGAGATAATTTCTTTCGATTCCTTTTAAAAATTTTTGCCTAAAAGATGTTAGAATTTTAAAAATTTCAAGCTTAAACCGGAGACCCCGGTCCCTATAATACATACTAGAACATATTGTTTTACTATTCCAAAATGTATACCTAATAGTTAAAACATCTGTACAAAAATTATGTATTCAATTAATATCTACATTTAAATATGATATTATATAAAATAAAATGAAAATGTTATGTGTATGTGTATTAAACATTCTTAACAATAATAATGAATGGTTCAGAAAGAATGATTTTTTTCTAATCCAAAATTCGTGATAACGTTAAAAAGGGGATTTCAAATTCAAGTTGAATACTTGATTAAAATAATTATAAACGTCATATTTTATACTATAAATAATAAATATACATGATTTAAAAGCGGAAAAGGAATTTATAAGGTTGTATTCTATTTAGATTTAAATTGGAAATGGAAATGGGAAAATTGTTCTGGATGAGAGAAGGGTTATAAAATATCTATTTAATTTTTCATAGCGAAGGAAAGAGCATTGTATAGGTTTTACTTAGTTTTAGCAGTTATCATAGATGGAATCTATAAAAAATAATATTTTATACTTTTTTTCAAAATTAAATATTTAGGAGAAAAGTTTTCAGAATTAAATTTTATGAAATTTACAGGATATTTTCCACAATATTTTAGCTATCGATTGGACCTATTTCAGGATTTTTAACCTATCTAGAAGAATGACTAGAATTATTTAAGTCATATGTTTACATCTGGGGTTATATAACAATGGGGAACATGGTAAAATTGAGAAGCAAGAATCTACCAGGGCAACGATCTCACAAAATAGTTATAAGTTTTCTGCTCATATAATCTACTTATTAACTGATATTTTTACAGTTTCCGATTATATTAATGATAGATCTAGAAATGAAACTATTTTGGATGATGTTATTCCTGATATTACCAAAAGCGCGAATGATCTCGGAATAAGTGATGAGTCATTAGCCAACTCACTACCTAATAATAATAGTGATATTATAAAGTATTAATAGATTCATCAATCCATGGGCGGATTCCTGTACCAAATGGGGGCAGAAATTATTGCTTCAACTCTAATAATGTAAAAAAGATATTTAAAAAGAAGGATTGGAATTGAATAGTGTGCTGCTTAATTATAATAATTGCAAAAAGCGCGAAGATTGGATATAATGCACCAATTCCTTGAATGGGCATATTCAGTATGCGAAGGGTCCATTTTTCCCTTATTGCGAAGATAATTTTTTAATTATAGCAATAAAAAAAATAATTGTGTTTAATTATTCTAATTTGATTTGCCATTTTACCTCGAATGGTTTGCCATCTTCTCATGGCCTTTGGTAATAGTAAATAGTAAAAGCTAAAAAGTGTTCACAATATAGAAAGTAGGAAATGCGATTTATATTTTTCATTTTAGACCAATGTTAAGGCTCTACAATGTTGTACAATGTAATTCAGTGTGTTTAATTTGATAAAATAAAATTAAAATATTACATTTCCTATATCTTTTTAACCCTCTTCTTAATGCGGAGACTAACAATAATAAATTCGAATAAAAAAGAACGAATTTTAATTTAGGTTCAAATATTATAAATTAAATTATATGGTAGCTTGTCGTCTCATTATGACGTGTTTAAAGACTCGAATTAACCTCTAACAACATGCCCCACGTTAATAAAAAAATTCAATTAAATAAATAAGTTTATTTTATCTTATAAAAATGGATATATCATGTTATTTTTTTTCAATATGGGAAGGTTTTAAATATAATTAAAAATTTTTTAACTAATAAAAGTTTTTAAAATTGTAGAAGACCTGTTTCATGAAATTGGTTTATCTTTAATCTTGACAAGTGCTAAATTACCTCGAATATCTCTTTAGAATTCTGAAATCTCCCTTTTAAAATAGTAGATACAAAAAATCTAACTCATTTAGGCACTCCTATTGACGATCCTGACTCCACTAAATATTCTCCCTGGTTTCAAGGAATTGATATTAAAAATTATCCTCACCCCATGCCTTCTTGATTAAAATTTTCCTCTATATCCCAAAATAAATCCATGGTTTTCGCCTGCCCCTGCTTTTACATGCACAAACCTTTTGGTTAATTATGAGGCTCAGGTGAAGCAAAATCTGGAGGAAGTTAGCAACTTAAATTCTCTCCTTTATTATGAATCTAGGCTTCTCTCCCATCCAAATCAGGTGGTCCTGTAATTCAGTCTCCCATGCATCTTTCAATAGACGCTCTTATTATCTGGAATCTCAATCCTCATCCCTGAACGTTGCGTTGAATTTATTCTTTCGAACCAACCAGAAGATCTAACCAATTTCACATTCGAAAATTTTGTTAGTAGGTACTAACAGATTGAAGTCATTCTCAGGCGACCTAGGTCCTATCTTCCCTAAAAATAATCAAGTATTTCCATTTGGCTACGCATTATCTTTGTAATAGACAGTTCGATAAAAATGGCAATCACCCATTCCACTGCAAATTTTCGAAACCGCCATTCTAGGCACCCATAAATAATATCATTTCAAAGCCCTTTAAAGAGCCAATATCCCATGTTCCTTAAAACCTATAAGGCTAAAGATATTGGATGGCAAAATATCGGACTGGTTGACTCTAATTCCCGAGCAATGCCTTCCTCTTGCTTGGGATTACATCTCCATAGATATATTCTCCAAAACCAGTCATGAATCTCTTTTCCCTAGCTGAAAGCAACAAAATAAATAAATATTCACTCCTAAGCAACGTTGTTTACTTCGTTCCCGTGGTTATTACCAGATTAGGAAATTTCGATGATGCCCTCGCCTTTTTAAAATCAATAGGAAAAAGCTCTCGGTGCTATCTGGCAATCCAAAAGAATACTCATACCTGAGCCAGAACATATGCTTAGAAATTTGCCTATCAAACTTCTCATCAATATATGTTCCATTCAGTTTTTATAGAAAAAAAATATTTATTTTGTATTCTTTTTATAAACTACATTTTTTTTAAAATGAAGTTTTTATTTTATATATCTTATTTTATAGATAGTTTACATATTAATTTAATATATTTTTAAAGAAAATAAATTGATAACTCTGTCAAAAAAATGGTATATTTAATCTATTACAAAAAAATCCAAATTAGTGCTCAAATACAGGGACGAACTGGGAGGCTAAAGGTCCTAGGGCCATTTTTAAAAGGGGCTCCATAGTTGTGGGGCTTCGCCCCCATCCTCTTTGCGAGCCTACGGCCCGCTTTTACCCTGCCTCTGGCCGGAAATTATAATTTGACCATTTCTCAAACCTATGGTCTTTTTATGACTAACGCTGCGGTATTTCCGTTTTTATGCATATGTCATCGGTCAGTAAAAAGATTATTGGATATAAATAATGCAATAGAGCTTCTAATCCCAATCTCACTATAGGAAAATCTTTAACATTTATATTGGGTTATGTTATATGATTTTAACAAATATAGTTCATTTTAGTTAGGGGGGGGGAGGTTATAAATCTTCTTAATACAAAGTGCACATGCAAAAATAATTCGCCCAACCAGCATTTTAAATCATGGACAGAGAAAAGTTTTTAAGGCTAGACTAGATAATTTTTATTTTAACTTAAAATAAATGTTTTGCAAATTAAAAATATTTTATTTTTATGGTAAAATTAAAATGAATATGAAAGAAACTTCATTTTTTATATTAATATCTTATCTTATCAATTATTTTTATAGGTTTTGTTTGTCTTTAATATTTTCAATTCGGTCCATTCCCATTAAATATTTATATACATATTTATTCTATTTTCTACATATAAACTATAAATATTGCATGTATATGTTAGAGGTATAGTTGGATAATCGACTTAGCCTACCCGATTTTATCTGTTTAAGGCTAAGCCTACGCCGATTTTTTTGGCTAAGCATGTGCCAATTTTAGCAAAGGTTGAGCTTAATTTTGATTTGCCAACGTTCTTCTTTACTGTAAATTTTACGATAATTTAATTCAGAAGGGTGACAATTGTCTTATCTTCATTTTAAAACTTTTCCAATGTTTTTTAAAATGAAATTAGATAAAAATGAATATTTTAAACTTTGTTTTAATGGAAATTCAATAAAATTTTCTTATTCGTCATTATAAAACTTTTAAGTACTAATTAATTTCTAAAATCTGTTTTAGTGGAAGTTTAAAAATAATGTAATTCAGAAGTGTGACACATGTCATATTTGACATACTAAAACTTTCTTAGCTAAAATAAATCGGTTAAGACTTAGTCTTAACCAAAAAAATTGTCTTAGGTTTAGCCATTGCCAAATAAATTAGGCATTCGGCTTAGTCCTAGCCTTATCCAAATAAAATACGCGATTACCCAACTATAGTTAGCGGCAATGTGTTTTTTCCTGCAATGTGTTATATTTATAACTTTAAATCATTTTTTGAACGCGTTTTTTAAAATCATAATTCTGTTTTTACCAGAAATGTATTCCAGCATGTTTAGAATATTTATCCTCTGAGTTGTAGATAATTTATCGTTAATTTTTGAGTTAAGAAAAATCTATGGAAAAACTAATATAAATTATATTAAGTTTAAAAGTTCATGGAAAAATTGTTAGAAATTCATAGGGTAGGTATTCAAAACTTGATGGAATACATTTCCGGTAAAATCAGATATTTAAACTTTAAAAACGCGCTCAAAAAATGATTCAAAGTTTTAGAAATAATATATTGCCAGAAAAAAAACACATTTATCATATATATTTATGTATTAAATATTTACTTGCGGCTATTTATTTTAAGACAATAATAATACGAATAAAATGTCTTTTCATTTAATTTCTATTGGATCCACATTTTAAGAACTAGATTAATGAGGCTAAACATTTAAATCTAATTTCTTTTTATTTCTTTATAATTCCACCAGAAAATTAAATTAATATTTAATAAATGTTTAAATTTATAATATTTAAAAATTATAGTACCAATTTAAAAAAAAAAAATCTTTATTCTTCCTAAGACCCCCAAAAACACCCCTAAATTTTTAAAATCTCGAGGTCCCGTAGGACATTTTTTCACTAGACTTACTGACCAGTCCGCCCCTGATTAAATGGCCCAAGTTTTTTCAAACAATACAATCTCTTTTAAAAATAAAGTAAAAGTTTTTTACGAGATTGTTGAAAATCCCGAGCTCATATAAAATCCTTTGACCTTTATTCTTTAAACGAGCCAGTTTAAAATTCTCTGATCGTATAAATAAAAATAATATATTTTTTATACGAGCAGCTTATTTAAAATACCGAGCTAGTATAGATCCTATCTTTGTTTTATACGAGGTGGTGCACTACTGTCTGAAATTTATATATGTAAAATTGCTTTGTTCTCATTGCATCCTTGTTTTCTGATTTTAAAAAATGAAAACATTATTTCCTACGTCATTTTTTAGAATTATTTTTAGGCCTACAGGACTCATCTCATATAATTTTTTTTAGCATACTTAAATTTACTAGGACATTTTGATAAGGCATTCAATCCTTGAATGGTAAGTTGAAAAAAAACGCGAATTATGAGGAATAGCTCATCCCTATTTTAAAACTATTATATCGCAATCTAATTTCCAAATTATGGTGCTTACAATTGAGCAATAGTTTAAGCTTTGTTTTTTTATAAAACGCTTTGTTGTAATTGAAGTGTTATATATTAAAAATTAATACACAAACTATTTTGTGTTTTTTCAAAACAAAAAGGGTTTATTAATTTGGCCGCTTATAATAAAGTATTTGAAAAAAAAATGCAAAACGAAAAAGCCTTAATTGTCTCCAACTCTAATAAAGAAGGTAAATAAGTGGGGGAGAGCATCATAGGGATATCTTATGAGGGCACATCGCTCCTTACAATAATTTGATATATAATACGTTATGCAGGGGCCGCATTTTGATTTAGGGTGGGGCCTGAAAATATAAAACTCGGGCCTGGCCGAAAAAAACTTTAAGAAAAATCCGGGTGGCCCGTGCAAATGGTTCCTCTGCAGTTCACCGCTTTTTTGTAAGAACTTTGATTTGATTTAAAATTAAATTATTTTCTATAAGGAGTGTACCAATCTGCGTTATTTACAATCAAGCTAATAGGTATAATTTGTAAATATGGACAGAAATGATAAAAACGCTAGGATAAAATTCGAAAATATATGTTGCAACATATATCTAAAAAAATTATTATCACTGTGAATAATCCGCTGTGATTTCAATAGCGTTAAATACTATATTTCACATTCCAGGCCCGTAAAACATTTTAAAAAAATCTTAATGGGCTTTATCGTGTTGATCGCTGATGTGAGACTATCAACTTGGTTGTTGTAATCATTAGAGATTTTGGAAGGGAGTTTTTTTAAACACTTTGTGACTTTTACACCCAGTCGAGGAGACGGTGATAATATTCTATCCAGATCAAAATATAGATAGGTTTTTTTGTGGTAACAATTTAAAAATCTCGGGTGTTGCTATGTCCTAATATACTATGAATTATTGATAATTGGATAAACATTATATTCCTAGAAAAATACTATTAAAATCTGTTAAATTTGAAAATATTTTTTACAGGGATATCCTGTTATATTTAATTAACAAATTCCCATTATGATTCTAATAAATTAAGTCACTCTGAAATGAAAAAAAACTAAGCCTTCAAGACAAGAACGTAGCCAATTGTTAGGAAAGCGGGGGAAGGCTATTAAGTAGAGCTTTCTCAATGTATTTTATTGAAAATCCTTAGGTTCACTTAAGGTAGACCTTTGTATATTATATTTTTATAATAAAATGTTTTTTCCTGAAAATTCTCCCGCAAAATAGGGGGTATGGGGGCGTCATTATAAAAAAATTATTAACTTTAACTTATTTTTCTTCAAATTATTGTTTATAATGATAAAAATATATAAATATTTTAGGGAGAAAGGAGTGGAGAATTTGTAGCAGGGAAATTTTTAGAGGCGAATTTTCAAAGGAGGAGAAAGCCTTACATGCTTTGAGATGTTACTTAAAGTTTCAAAAAAGTAAAGTATAATTTTGATAAATAATTTTTCCAAATATCTACAATCTTTTTATTTCTAGGCTTGTAGCCAAATAAAGCTAATATAATATCGAATATATTATAATTCAAAAAGATAATCTCTTACCAAATCTAATTCGTCGTCTCTAAGAATAGTTCTGCAGGGATCTTTATTATTGCTTTGAGATCTATTAGATTCGTTAATTGAATAAACAAGTTTTTTTCTTCTTAATGCATATTCCTTGCTATATACTTTCCGAGAAGTAAAATTTATCGCCGTGGACCTTCTGGAATTATTTAGGTTTTTACTCTTCATGACAACTAGATTATATTTTACAAATTATTTAATTTTGATAAATAATTTACAATGTGTTACGATAGAAATTCATGGATTAATTTTTTTTTATTTTTCAAATTATACTATATTCTTTTTAACTTTTATATTTGATTTTTCTTGCATCGCGAACTTTTAATCTTGCTCATACATAATTGAATAGCTATTAGTTAGAGATTTTATTCAATTAATATTTTTAGATTGTTTTTTAATTACTTATTATTTTTTCATATTTTTTTCATAATTTAAAATATTACATAAAAAAAATTAAATTTGCTTATGATAAAAAATAATTTATTTTATCGCAAATAAATTCATAATCATATATATTACTTAAGGTTAAATTATCGTTTTTTTAAAGAATAGAACAAACTAGGGGTTAAATTAATTATTTTTTTTGTATGGCCCAGCCCAAAATTTTATATACTCACCCTCTATTTTTCTATGTCATGTTTTTTTATTTAAGAAAGTTAAAATTATATGTCAAAATTTATATTTAAAAATATTTATTGATTAAAGCACCAAAAACATTTAAAATTTTTTTTTAATTATACTATAAGTTTACAAAAATAATACTAGATTATAATTTATTTTTTGATTTAATTGCACCTATTGCTACCATAAATCATTTTCGAATAATTATCTGATGTAATTAAAGGTCATAATTAAATATTTATTATAAAGTAATTTTTTTAAAATTAAGTAATTTAGGAGCGCTCTCCTGCATTGCATTCGAATTCATACGCTACTCCTTTATGAGCTATGTGCGAATTATTAGGGTATAGGGAAGTGAATTTTTTTAAAATAAACCATATTTATCTTTTTCCTTGTAAATTTAGAAAATGCATATAAACCATATTTTTTTATTTCATTATTATGTAAGCAACGCTAAAGCTTTGTTACTATATAAGATTAACATTTACAAATTTAAAAAATTATGATTTACAGTACAACAAAGAGCGCACATTCGCATACAATATTTCCATTATAATAATAATCTTATGTATAGTTATATATATTTTTTAATTCTTACTCCGAGCTAAACTAATTTGCGATATGAATTAAAAACTATGATAATAAAAAAGAGAAACCAACAATATGTTACTATATATCTTAATTTATTATTTGACATAATGTGTATATAATTCAATAAATAAAAATATAATTGTTAAATTTATTGTACATTATTTATAATTCTTTTACTACATCTATCGGTTGCAGTTTGATCCTTTATTTATATATTCATCCCAAAAAACAAAATAAATTTTTATAAATGATAACCTTAACCAATCCCTAAACTTAATAATAAATAAAATTAGGTAAAATTTTTAATTTTAACAAAATATTATAAAAATGCAATTTTTAAAATGAATTATGAAATAAATTGTTTGTATAAAATAGGGCTATACTATCAAAATATATTATTTACGATATCAGAGACCTATAGGCTTGGTATGGCGTGGAACCCAGCATGTATTTTCGAACCAGTTTTAATATTTTAAATATCTGAGCAGGGTTTAAAAAATTATATAACAATTATAAACAAATTGGAAAATCTTAAAATGAATTCAATATATTTACTGCTCATATTTTCAATTTTATTTTAAAATAATCTACCAAATCTAAAATTATTTTACCGAAATATTAAAAATCAGGGCAGGGCTCTCTGACAAGTGAAAATATAACAAAATTGAAAATTTAGTTTTCAAAAGAAGAATAAGGATTATCTAAAAAAAATAATAAAATATTATTTCAACGCAATTCAAAAATATAAAATCAAGTATATTATAGGAAGTTTTGTTAAAAAGCCCGATTCGGGTCGATTTTAAAAAACGGCTTGATTAAGATTATTTATAACCAAAATAACATTATGTAAGCATAAATATTTTGATCATAGCTGGCAGGAATGCTTGGACATCTATTTACCAAATCTCGAAGCTTATTAGTAATCTTAATCGGGCCACTTTGAAAAATCGACCCAAATCGGGTTTTTTAACTAAACTTTTTTTTAAAATATTTTTTTGTTAAATGATATTGTTATATCGAAACCATTGGTTGTTAATTTTTACACATATTTTTTTATATTTTTTTGTTGAATGATAATTTTATAATAGATTGGATAAAATTTAATAAATGGAAGGGCAAATTGGATAATAAAATCTTTATGAATTATAAAGATGCCGCGCAGATTTGTAATTTAGATACCTTTTCCAATTGTTTTTCTTATTTAGATTTGCATACTTTTATGAATTATAAAATTTTTTAACAGATATTTCTTTTCAATGATCAAAGCTTTATTTTTAATTGCATATTATCCTAAGCATTGACTCTTTATTTAAAATAATTTATTTTACAAATTTAAAATATAAAAATATATAACAAAGTATATGTTCTACACATTTATAATAGGGAATGCTTGAATAATATCTTCCAAAACATTTAATCAATAGATTTATATTTTCTCTCTTCTTTAAATAAATATATGTTGCTATGTAATCTTCCATAAACTGGGACCTCATAGATTTAACAGATTTTGTTCTGAGGCCACACTAAAGACGCTCTTTGGACTGGGTATTTATGCTTCTATTAGCCGGGTCCACAAAAAAATATTATTTTCATTTATTCTCACTATTAAAAAAATAATTAAAATTTATTTTTAAAAAAATATTAAAATTTAAAAAATTATCTTATTATATTATATAGTTTAATTTTTTATTATTTTAAAGTTATGACATCCCTTAGTAGGGAGATTAAGAATAAATCTTGACACTGTTAATATATTAATTCCTTATTTTCTGTATTCTTATTGTTATAACCAGATTAAATTGAATGAAAATTATTATATCATAACAATACACTTCAAATATCAAATTTAAATAAAGAATTATATTATTAATTTACGACTTCTAAACTTTTAGAATAAATTTATTTATATTATTTCATTTCATCGTAGATTTGACATTGATCTATTAATTTATATATTTTATATTAAATCTATTTCCGTTACAGAATCCGTAACTCACCACAATAAAGCTAATTTTTAAATACAATTTAAAATTACAGGAAATTTGTTTAAAATACTATTAAATAATATACATTTATATCGATTATTCGAACTTTTAAAATTATTTATTCCTAAATTTAAGAATATTGAGTTTTTAGTCTTTGTGTGTTATATGAATTTCTATTGCTAACAAAATAGGATAATACTTTAATTAATGATATAACTTTTTTATATACGAAATTTATTTAAATGTCACTTTAAAAAAAATATGATCTAAATTATATATTAATTAAAATATGATTTTTTTAATAACGCCAATAATTTATATCAATGACAAGAGGCAAACCCCCTTCCCTCCCAGCACAAAACTTTTTTATAATTCTCACTAAATAATTTATATCAATGACAAGAGGCAAACCCCCTTCCCTCCCAGCACAAAACTTTTTTATAGATCTCACTATATCACAAAGCGCTTTAAATTGAATGGTAGATAAAAAAAATTTGCAGGAACGGACTGACAGTAGTTTGACAAATCCTGTGTGGCTACTTAAAAATGGAGTTTAGGGCGCTGAAAGGCTTTCAAAAAAATAACTTGTAATTGGTGGCTTCATTTAGACCCCAAAAATATAGCCTAGATCTTTTATTAAAATTTTGAAAATACTTATATTTTAAATAAATGAATACTAATTATAGTTTACATCACTTATTTTCTAAAAAGGAGTTTCGGGTTTAGGGTTCGGAGTTTAGAAAAATAAGAACTTATAAAATTTCGTAAAAACAAAAGAAATATCAATTTATTTTAAAATTAATTTTATTGTATTTTGTATTCAACCATAAAAATAATTTATCATTATAATAATAATACAATTCAATTTAAAAAATTATATTCGATTTTGTTCTTATCTACTCTTCATAAAACCCAAGCTGAGCTATCCTTAAAACTAGCTGAATAAGCTTGAACAGTAGTCTTTCCAGGGAGTTTTCCAAGACTTATTCTTCCTTCCTTATTTCCTTCTCCATTATATTCTATATTTCTTCTTTATTTTTTAGCTTAACCTACTTTTATATAGTTACTAATATATTATTATACCCTTAATTTAAGTAATCATATTTGCTTTGTCAGATAAAATAGTATATTTAAAAAATACAATAAACGGCAATAGATATTCTTAAAATATATATTATAATATATTATCTATTATAAAATTTACAAAATATTGTGGTATTTAAAATAAAATATAATAAAAATTATTCCACGAAAAATGAAAAATTATTTTCACAAAAAATGTTTTAATGAAAATAAAAAAAATTCTTGAACCCTGAATCTTACATTTAAAAAATGGGTTCGGGTTTGGTTCAGTAAAATCTCGAGGGTTAGGGTTCTCAGCCCTATTATGATCTCAAAAGATAATTTAAAGTTGAAAGTTTCTTTGAAGCCCCAAAAATATATTATAAATGGGTGAAACTAATTCCAGTTATTTTATTACATTATTTCATGCAAATTTATCATTAGTTTTCATGCAAATTTATCATTAGTAAGTTATGGCGCAATATTCATCCCCTAAATTTATGAATTTGTGACATAAGCGTAGAAGGCAAAGGGGTATCCCCCCCTTCAGAAATATGAAATTTTTTGTGAATATCATTTTAAGTTAATAAAAAATATCCTGCTTAGAGCCCTTCTCATCCCATGCTCCTCAAAAATATATGCATATATCTTAAACAATAAAAGGAAGAATGTATAAGTTAATTAAATATTAAACGGCTGAAATAATTAATGAATTATTAAATTCTAAAAGAAATTAGATCTAACATTATAAATTATTACAAAGTTTTTGTATTATATGGATTTTATTATATTTCATACAAACTAATAAAATATATTTCTTATTTGTTTCAGACTTAGATACCTTTTGATACCATCTCTTGGAAACCAATGTACATTTTAAATAATGATAATAAGTTGTTTTTATTAAAATTAACTTCCTATCCTATAAAAATATTTTCTAGCTACATATAGGCTAAGGAAACCCCGCTGGGGTCTGAGGAAAGACCCCCCCCCCCCAGATATTCATTCCCCTTAGGCAAATTCTGTACGTATATGATTCGCGATATAGTACATGTGCTAACATTGAAGCGAAAA